TCTTCTGGCCCACTGTGCGGGGCGCGCTATGACTATGACGCCGCATTCCGTCATGTCACCGCCGAGCCGCGCTGCCAGCGCTGCCAGCCCGCCAGACCGGCCGAGTGGCACCGAGTGGCAAGCAAGCCAAGCAAGTCAAGCAAGCCCCCCGCGGCACCGGCACACTTTCCCACCAACAAAAGCCCGGGGACGACGGCACCACGGCACGACGCCCGTGTGTGTTTCGACGCGGGCCGCGGAAAAAAATGTTTGCTCGGTATTCGAACCCGCGCGACCTCGCCCGGGAGAAAACGCTAGGCGGCGGTGTCCGCGCGTTCATATTCCCGGTCTGCTTCACGTCGCGAGGCGCCGCGGGCGAGGCTGACGTTGCCACGGCGACGCGGTTCAAGGGAGCAGGCCGGCAAGCTGACAGGCCAGGCCAGGCCAGCAGGCGTGGGTACAGTGTAAATGCAGGCCATGTGTTTGCACAGGCCCGCCCAGGCGGTTTCGCGAGGCGCTGTTTGTTGTGAATGAGTCCGCCGTCGAGCGGCTCCGAAGAGTCGATGCGTCGCTGTCTCTGTCGCACTCATGGGGCACTACGGGGCACTACTAGCGGGTGCGAGAGAGACAGAGAGACGAAACAGTCGGGGCAACTACCCGTTCCGCGGTTTGGTCCGCGCCGAGAGGGTCGCGAGTCGCGGGCACGTGTCGTCATTTCACCCCGCGATGCACTTCGCGAGTGTCGCCGCATTCGTTTTAGTTTTGTTGTTGTTGTTTTTCGCGGTGTGCGCGTGCTCACGATACGAAGGCCGTCTGGCTGGGCTGGTGCGCCGGCTGGCTGTCACCGCGCTGTGGTGTCGGGGCCGCGGGCACCACAAGCCCTCCGAGCTGCTGCTACTACGACGCACAGTGGGCCAGAAGACCGGCGGAGGCGGCCAAAACTCTAGACGCGTTTTGAGCTCCAGAGTCACTGAACTGGACTCAAACAGAGCGTGTGACCCCACCAATGGATTCCTCGTTCGGAGAGCAATCCATTGGTGGGGTCACACGTTCGGTTCGAGTCCCATTTAACGACTCAGGAGCTCAAAACGCGTCTAGAGGTTTGGCCACCTCCACCGGTCTTCTGGCCCACTGTGCGACGCGCAGAAAACCGGCAGGAAGCCGCTGGGAATCGAACCCGCAGCCTTGAGGAGACGCGGCTTACGCCTTGCAGCTTGCAACAGAGCAGCGCGGCCCGCCCCGATCGGTCCCTTCGCTGCAGAGCGCTGCGGTGTCGAGGTCACCGGCCGCCGCCTGCAGGCGCACTTGGCGCACGTTGGCGCTGACCGCCAGGACTGCCAAGACCGGCTGCGCGCTGCAGGCTCCAGGCTGCACCACGGCTGCCTGTTGCTCCCGGAGGCTCCAGTCCTCCAGTCTCCTACCTCGGTGCTGGCTGCGGCTGCAGCGCCCGGGGCCGCGACCCCCGCGGGGGCAGGGGCGGCCGGAGGGGCGGCCGGAGGGGCGTGGTGGCGGCGCTTGGAGCGGCGGTGACTGCTCCGCACGGCGAGCGCCGACGACGCCCTGCCCAGCGGCTCGTGGGCCGCCGCGTTGCCCATGGCCTCCGGGCCCTCTGGGAGTGCAGCGGGTAATCCAAGGGGTAATCCGGGGGGTAATCCGAATCCAGCACTGCACTCTCACCGCATCGCGGCGACACTTTGCACTTGACACACGGTGTCCGCGGTGTCCGCGTTGTCACACTCCAGGGAGGCGCGAGGGGGCCGCACCGCGCCGTGCATAGCCCCGGACTCCGACTGGCACTACACTGGACGGCAGGCGGCAGGCGGCACCGGCCCAGCACCGCCCGGCACACCGCAGGCAAGCCAGAGAGAGAAAGACGGGCGGGGCGCGGCGCGGGGCGGCGAGGGGCGGACGCGGGACGCGCGATAGAGAGAGAGGGAGGGAGTTAGGTACATTCCGACGCATCCCGGCGCGGCCGGCGCGCCCCGCCAGCCATACCATGTGCACGGCACCACGGCAAGCCCCGGGCCGGCGCGGCGGGGCGCGGCTCGCCACGGCCCGGCCGGTTCAGGCATTGCATGGCCTCAGTTTGCCGTACGAAGCGACGCGATGCGACGTACGCCCCGAGAGAGACGGACGACGCAACCGGTTCCAGTCTTCCAGTCCCGTCGAGCCACAAGTTTCTCCCTTCCCTAAAACCAGCCGCCCCCTTCCCCTCCCCTCCTCGCCGACGAAGACTCACCTTCAATCTTGGAGCTGATCGGCCGAGCCGCGGGGCCATGCGGGGCCCTCCGACGCAGGCAGACAGCCGAACCATTCCGAAGGATCGCGTCGCTCTCTCTCTCGCACCCCTACGAACCACGGCCCCGCGAGCGCGAAAGAGACAGAGCGACGACACGCCCTTCGGGGCGGACGCCGCGACGGCCGCGTTGACGGCTTCTAATCCCCATAAACTGAGCTTCAGTCTCCCCGCGGCCCTCTCCTCGCAGGCCCACTACTTGAGCACGCGTGCGCCGAGGGCCGCCGAGGGCCGCCGAGGGCCGCCGAGGGCCCAGCAGCCCCGCGCCGTGCGAGCCCTCATATTTATTGAGCCTTTCTTCCTTCCCTCCGGCCGGCTTTCCCTATGGCACACCGTGCCAGCCGTGCCCAGGCCTTTCGCCGGGCACGCTGGGCCTGGGACCGGGGCTCAGCGTCAGGGCTTCCAGTTCCAGTTCCAGGGGTTCCAGTCGCCACAATGAGGCCCGGCCAGGGCCCGGCATCGCGACTAATGAGCTCCAGCCGTGGGAGTGGACGTCCCGACGGCCGACGCCTAGATCCGCGGCCGTGCCCGGCCCCGCTAGGGCTCTAGGAGGGCCGCCTCGACCGCCGAGGCCTCCGCCTAGACACGCGCCCTGGCCGGTCGGCCCGCTCACGCGCCTTCACTCTCATTTATGCTCCCACTCGCGGCGCGCGCGGTGGCGTCGCCCGCCGCCTAATAAGCCCCGCTCGTGCATTTTACTATTCGAGTGTCGGCCACACTGTAGACCGCACTCCGGCCGCCGTCGTCAGCGCCCACGCCCACAGCCTCTGGGATCAGCGAGCGAGGAGGAAATTGGCTACGAAGTCGACGCGATGGAAAGGGAAAGCAAGGGGCAACCAACTCGATGTCGATTGGGGCCGGCCTCGCAAACTTGCCAAATTGCGGAAAATCACATTTTTGTGTTGGTGGTTGTTGCACTCCAGTATTTCACTGATTACCAGACCCTGAATATCTCGAGCGAGCAGGCAGAGCCTTGGGCGCGGGCGGGGTAGGGTAGGGGCGGACTGAGAACCTGCGAACGCTAAAGGCAGCGAAGCCGAAGCCGCGAAAGCCCGAAATGGAACGCGTCCCTTTCCTCCCCTCGCAAGGCGGCGTGGCGGCGCGGCGACGGGCACTCAGGTTCAAGGCCCTTCCCTTCCCCAGCCCCCTCCGCGGTGGCGGGGCGCGGGGCGCGGGGCGCGGTGACAGCGCCGCGGTAAAGGGCATTGCCCGCTGCCCACTGCACTTTGCCGATGGCTGCACCGCACGGGGCGCCGAGCCCGCCCCGCCGAGCACGCGGACGACGCGGACGACGCGGACGCAGGGCCGCCCCCTTCCTCCGCGCCCTTTCGGCCCGTCCGCCGGCCACGCCGGCTCGCCGCACCGGAACCGGACCGGCGCCGCGGCGGCTGCGCCCTGCGCTGCCTGCGCGACTTCCGGGCCGGCCGGAAGCACGCCATGGACCCGCACAGCGACGCACAGCGGCCCGGAGGCAGTGCGGGTCGCTCTGGACCGCGCCACTCATCTCTAGACGGAGAGGCGCGACCGCAGGGGGGGGGGGCAACAAATGCATCCCGGCGTGGGCGCGTTGTTGTGACGCGGCGTAACGCGGCGTGCCGGGGCCGCTGCGGTATTGACTCGTCGTTATCTGTCATGACCCCGGATGGCACTGGGAGGCACTGGCCGCGGACGGGTTGGGATGGACCACGACGGACCTCGATCGGGCGTGGCAGCACGGCGGTCCAAATGGGGGCCTTCGTGTCGGCGGGGGAATGACACGCCGGTCGCGGTCCGGTCAGGTCAGCCCCAGGCGTCGACGGCCACCTCGGCCCGGACGACCGCGCCTCGCGAGGTGGGGCATGCCTTCGATGATAACAACACGCCGTCGTCACAAATAACAGGGCATCGAAAATAGAGAGCCCCCTCCCCCTTTTAGGGAGTCCCGCTATTCAGCCTGTGTGGAGCAAGCCGGGCAGGGCACTGCAGGGCACGTGGGCCCGGCAGGCACGGCCACCGAACCCCCGTGTCATAATAGAACAGAAGCTGGCAACGTCGCACGCCGTGACCTGAGGGGATGCGAGGGGAGGGGGGAGGGGGCACGGGCGTGGTGTCGGATCGCCGTCAGGGGCCACTGGCCACTGACTGACTGCCTGACTGCAGAGGTTGTCCCACCCCTTGCAGCTTGCACGGCGCATACGGTGTGCCCCCTTCGTTGGTGGGGCTTAGCCCCCCACTTTTTCCCGCGGGAGGCGCGGCGCGCCCCCAGCCCCTGTTTCCGACGACCGTGATGGAGCGACAGGAAGGAAGCGACCCCAACACTCTGCCTGCTCTGCCTGCTCTTTCGCCCCCGCGTGGGACGACGGCCGTGGACGCCGTGGACCAGGAAGGGTTGCTTTCATTCACTGGTGGGATTTCATTTCCAGCCGGTCGAGGCAAACTGACTGACAGAGGCCGCCGCAGGGAGTGAGGCTCGTCGGGGTGGGAACCACGGTGGGAGCCTCTCTGCCCGTCCAGTCCAGACGGCCGGGGTTTCGCCGAGGCCTTGAACGTCCTCTGCTCACGAACAGCCCCGACAGATCAGACTAGGTCTGGCCGGAGCACTGAGCACTGCAGCCAAGACGTGAGCTGAGAACGCAGAGTGCCTGCCAGCACGCGCCCGTCCGCCCAACCAAGACACGTCTGTCGAAACACGGTTGATAGTGCTGACGGTGTGACACCTGGGCAACCTGGGCAACGACACACTTACCATGAGCTTGCTGATGCCGGCGCGAATCTTATCCATGGCTCCAGCGCGGAGTAATCCAAAACGTGCAGCAAGTAATCCACAGGTGGGCACAACGGTCTCTCTGTCCTGCTCCTTCTACCGACGACGCTCGAACTCTCTACAACGTCCGTTCCATTCTTCAAGCAGGGCCATTTTCACGGGCCCGGTTCACACGTCATCACTTCACTGTTACACGTCAAACACACGCACACACGCACACACCGGCACTCAATGAAATCACACACGCCGAAAACCGTCGACACGCAAACACCGACCCGAAGCGCTCGCCTGACGGCGCTTAAAATGGCTGGGAAACGGGACGCAGCTCAGTTGAACACGGATCGTTCAACTGTCCAGCGGGCTCATGGTACCCGGTACCCCTACCCAGCCCTACCCAGCCCAGCCCCAAAACTCGGCGACTCCACACAACGCAGCGCCCCTCACACAGCACGCAGCTCACAGCAGCACAAAACCAACTAAACTCCCCAACAACTCCGCTCCCACTCCACTCCTCCCTCCCTCCCTCCTCCTCGCCCGCCACTCCGCTCCGCGCCGGCAGGGGAAGGGGGAGGGGATGCGGTGTGGGGCGGGCTGCCGGCCGGCGTGCTGCTGCCAACCGCCACCAGCAGCAACGCCAGCAACGCCGTCTGCTGCTACTACAACGCCGCCGTCGTGCAGCCGTTGCAACGGTCACCGCCGCCGCCGCGCGCTGGAGGCAGCTGCCGCCGCCACACTGCCACCGCCGCTGCAGCAGCAGCAGCAACCCCCGCAGCAGCACGGCGCGCAGCTGCAGCTGAGGCTGGCAAAGTGCATTCCCATTGCAAGATGCAACAGCCACTTTCGCCGGCCGTCCACTCCGGCTCCCCATGTGGATTAGCGGCCCTCGAAGCCCTAAGCCCCGAAGGCGCGTAGGGGCGGATCCAGTCGAGGGGGCAAGCCGGCCAAGCCAGGGTGACGGAGCCTCGGGGCGTCGCCGGGGCGTCGCCCCAGACACCCTCATCCACGACCTTATCGTCCCGATGACGGGCAGGGCGCGGCCGCCGCCGAGATAGACGCGGATGCAAACACCCAAATCAGTGGGCATCTGCGCGATGTGTGTTCTTGTTTGCCGTGTGTGCCTGGCTGACTGACCGTCTGGGCCTCCCGATGTTGTGCGTTTTTTTCGACATTCCGACTCCAGAGGGCGTCGTCACCCCCGGCCGCCCGTCCGGCCGACGCGGACCCAGCGGCCCAGCTGGTGCCGCAGAGCAACGCGAAGCAGCTGTTGGGGTTGGGGCGGCTGGGGCCCGCCCGCAGCCCCACCGGCCTCGCCGTGGCTAGCCGTGGCCTCGCCCACCAACCCCGTGCGGCCCCCTCCCTTCCCTCCTAAGGGACTCCGCAGGGCTCCACTTCTCTCCCCAGAGGCCAGGTGCCAGGCCTCTGCAGAGCCTGCAACGCCTGTGTGTGTGAACGTGAACGGGCAGCTGGGGTGCGCGTATCCCCTGAGGTACTACTCTGGGGCCATAACCACGCCGGGTGGCTGCGGCTGCGGGGGTGGGGCGGGGCGGGGCGGTGGTTCGGTGTCTATGTTGGGAGCATGGCGCTGGTTGGGATGGTTTGGATCCGCGATTCAAGGAGCGGATCGGACTGGCTGATTCAAGCGCATACGTGACCGTTAAAGCTTAACGTGCTTAATCTGCCGGTACACTGTACAACGGTCCCGCGTTGCCGATGAACCGTGCCGCTGTGCCACGCTGTGCCACGCTGTGCCACGCTGTGCCGTGTTCCACCTTTCCGCCCGTATTTCCGCCACCCCGGTTCCCGGTTCCCGGGCCCAGAGGCATGGGGCATGGAGGGGCCGAGACAGCCGAGACCGGGCCTACCGGGCCCAGCGCGTGGCGCCGCGCCGCGACCGCGGCCAGCGCCGTCGGAGTTCAGCGAGTCGCCGCGCGGCCCGAGGGAGGGCGCCACCGTACAGAGCCGCAGTGGTTCGCCGCGGCGCGGTGCGCGGTGCGCGGACAGACACACGGTCTCACGGCCACGGCCGGCCGGAGGGGCGTTGCGCGTTCGACGGAGAGGATGCCAGAGGGATCGCACTGCATGGGGGAGGGGAGGGGGAGGACATCTCCGCCGACTTCTCGACACCGAACGAGTTCACACGCCTCCTCGCTCAGCAGCCGCCTCTGTCTTTCACACGCATCCTCGCATCGTCCTGATGCTGCCGCCGCTGCCGCCGCTGCCGCGCCCCGCCCATCATTGCAACAATTATCACCCTCTGCCGATAGAGGGAGCCACGGTTGCGGCGGCCGGGCCTTCAGGGCCTTCAAGCGATAGGAGTTGAATGCACTGGGATAGGCCCTATGCCGCGCGCGCGCTGGTCGCCGCTGACCACGGCGCGTAGCGCGTAGCCCGCTGATGTCGCAACCTGCTACCGCCGCGGCCGCGGTCGGCGTCGTCACCGCGTCAACCCCAGGCCGTGATCAGCGCCGCGATGACGCGCCCGACGCACGCCACTCGAGGACGACGACGACGTGGCGCTCCGGGGCCGCCTCCATTTGGCTCAGTTTCCGGGGCGACTCGGCCGACACGCGCGTGCTCGCCATGTGCGTGTAGCAGTGTGGCAGGCGGATCGCTGATCCCGGTCTGCCCTCCGGGGGGGTCCCCCGAGTGCGAGAGAGACGAGGCGACGAAAGCGCTGTTTGGGTTCAGCCCGCAGTTCCTGCTGCAGGGAGTGCGCCGGGCCCCAGGGCCGGGCCGGCCGGTCGGTGCACGCGCGCGTCGTCCAGCCAGCTGCAGCACATGTGTGCTTGTTGAGCCCCAGCGGCAGCGGCGCAGCGTAGCGCAACGGCCCCACATCCTCATGGAATACGAGGTGTGTGTGTGTTTCGGGCTTTGCTTGCCGGCGACGGTTGGGTTTGACGGACGTTGCGGAAATGAGTTGGGTGTTGTATCGCGGGCTCCGCGTTGACTTCCGCGTCCGCGCGCATCCTCGCCGTCCTCGCCAAAGCCCAGCCGCTCATCTCGGCCGGGGGGGCTGCTGCCCTGCCGGCCCTCCCTGCGAACAAAACAACCACCCCCTACTCCGCCCAGCCGCCAAGGCGGCGAGTCTCACATACGCCAGCCACGGTCCGAGTCACTGTAATCTTGACGCACACCACTTGTACTTCTTTGGGGCCCGCAGGACGCAGGACTCGGCGCCCACAGGACTCGAATCCCATGGCACCTTACCGATCGACCGCGGGGCGTGGCAGGGCGCGGCGCGGCGTGGCGTGGCACCACAGGCCGAATGGGCGCAACCCGGAGCGGCTGCCTATTCTATCCGGCCCAAGCCCCAGCCCAGCCTGGCCTCGGAGTGCGCCGCGCCGTGCCGAGCCGCGCCACGCCCTGCCTGGCCCTGCCACGACGCCATCGCGCGGCACAGCACGGCACGCGGACAAGGACTCTGCCGCTTTTCTAGCATTCATGACTGAGTTGATTATGCCCAAATTTCGGCGGGCCGGCAGTGGGAATGCGGTGCGTGGCACGCTACGTGCCGCGTCGTCTATGAGTCGCCCCGCGCCGCTCCGGGCGAGGGAGGCCCGCCACTGCCAAATGTTGCCGGAAAAACGCACGGGCTTTCCCTGGGCTTTCCTTTGCTTCAGGTCGGTTTTCCCTCAGAGGCCAGGTTTGGGTCCTCGCCTCGCGCTCGCGGACTTGCCCGGCCAGTGGCCTGCCGCTTGCCTCTTGGCTGACCACTCGCCTGTCCTGTCCAGCCAGAAGCAGTCAGAAGCTGGCGAGAACGATTGTGAAAACCCTCTCCCCGGCCGGCTTGTGGGTGGGCAGTGGGCAGACACATTCCAAGCTCAAGGAAGCCCCAGGACGAAAGCTGAAATTTTCCGAACCTTCCACGGTCTTCGAGTCGTGGGTCCTGAAACACGACGTTGGTAGCGAGCGCCACCATGTGAGCTTCAGCAAAGGAAGCAACCATCCTTTCTTACATCGAGTACCCGCGCTCCAGTTTACCCGAAGGTGGCGATGTGGGGCGGGGGGCGGCGGCGGCGGTATTGGTGGTAGTGGACCCCGTCCCGTCCCGACCGTCCCGACCGCCAGCCATGGCTTGCCGCCTTGCCCTGCCATGCGCACGGCTTGGCGTACGTCTGGCAACACCGGCCGGGCCCAACCGTGCCGTGGCGTGCCGCAGCGACGCGCCTTGCCGCCCTAGCCGCGCCGCGCCCGAAGCGAGTCGAGCCGAGGCGAGCCGAGCCAAGCCGAGCCACGCGTGGTAGGGGAATGGGCGGGCCGTGTCGGGCCGAGCCGAGCGGGGCAGGGGTGGGACACGGGGCGGCGCGGGGCGGCCGCCGTGGCGAGCTGTGCCACTCGCTGTGTGCCGCGCCGTGCCGTGCCGCTGCCGCAGTGCCGCCGCCGCGCCTCTCCGCGACTGGCGCGATGGCCTAGGGAAAGGCAAGGGGCTCTCCGCTGCCGCGCCGCTGCGCAAGCCGTGCCCAGCCCAGCCCAGGCCGCGCCGTGCGCCGTGGCCGCCTCGCTGTGCCGTGGCGAGGCTGGCAAGGCCTGGCCGAACCGACCGCGCCGTCCCGTGTGCTCCGTGTGCCGTCCTGTGCCGTGGCCGTGTTCTCCGTGTACGCCGTGCCCGCCGTGTCCGAGCCCAACACATCGCCGTGCTCCCTCCTGGGCCCTGGCTTGGCGTGGCAGCCATTGCCGCCGCGCTGCGCTCGCCTTGCCCTGACCGGCCCAGCGCGCAGCCTGCAGCGCGCCCTGCCTGGCCTGCCCACCAAGCTGCCGCCGTGCCGCCGGGCCCCTAGCCTCGGCCGCCTCGGCCCCACCAGCGCGTCGCGTCGCGCCTCTTGGATTAGCCGTGCCAGTACGCCGTGCCCTGGCAGTGCGCCGTGCCACGACGACAGTGCCACGCCGCGGGAGTGATTTTGGTTTCGTGTTGCGTCCAGCCTCAGGACGCCTTCCTTAGTCGCCGCCGAACCAGCACGTTGTCGCCGCCACGGGCGCCCAGGGCGCCGTCGTAGTGACGTCGCCGGGCAGCACGGCGGCGGGGCAGGGACAGGCGGGGCGCAGCGCCTGGCACCATCTCGCCGGCGTCGTCCCGTCCGTGCCCTGGCTCCTGCAGCGAGACATGCATGAGCTGCCCAGGCTGCACCCTCATACCGCGCCCCAGCAGCCCCAGCCGACGCACCCACACCAGCCGCCGCCGCCGCCGCAGCACCAGCCGCCGCCGCCGCCACATCCTCAGGCCGCGCCGCCGCCGCCGCATCCGCAGCAACTGCACCGCGAGCACGACAACACCATCAGGCTCCCCGAGCCGCAGCAGCAGCAGCCTCCACCGCCGCAGCACCACCAGCAGCCACCGCAGTCCGCGCCGCCGACGCAGCAGCAGCAGCAGCAACAACAGCAGCAGCAGCAGCAGCAGCAGCAACGCATCACCCTAGGCGCAGTCGGCACTTCCCCGTCGGGCCGGCCGTGGTCGCTTTCGGAGGAGCAGAAGCAGCGCAAGCGCGACCGGGAGAAGCTCCGCCGCGAGCTCAACCAGCACACGCTGTCGGACGAACAGAAGCAACGCAAACGCGACCGGGAGAAGCTGCGCCGGGCCTTGGGCCTGGTCCCGGCCCTCACCGAAGAGCAGAAACGGCGCAAGAGTGAGCGAGAGAAGCAGCGCCGGGCTATGCTCAAGGAGACGGGCCAGCTCCCGGTCCGTGTTCGTGGCAAGAAAGCACAGTTACTACGAGACCAAGCACAAGAACTACAGCAGCAGCAGCTGACCCAGCTGCAGCAGCAGCACGACATGCAGCAGCAGCAGCTAGCCCAGCAGCAGCAGCAGGAGCGCATCGCCCTGCTCGAGTCGCAGCACCAGACGGCCTACCAGCACCACCACCACCTCCTGCTGCTCCACCACCACCACCTGCACCCGGGGCACCACCACCTGCACCCCGGACACCCACTCCACACTTCATCAGGTTCCTCGGTTCACCCGGGGGGCCTGCTCCCCGAGGGAACCGCCCTGCCGCCCTCGGGGGACCCGACGCACCTGGGCAAGGGCAACAGTGATCCACTCAAGACGACGCCGCCGCCGAAGCGGTCGCGGCTCTCGGAAGAGCAGAAGGCTCGCAAGCGGGAGCGGGAGCGCGAGCGCCGCGCCATGATGGGCCAGTGGCGCGTGGTGACCGACGAGCAGCGTGCGCGCAAGCGCGAGCGCGAGCGCCAGCGGCGCCTCATGAAGCTGTGCACGCTCTCGGAGGACCAGAAGGCGCGCAAGCGCGAGTACGAGCGCCAGCGGAGGGCCATGCGCGCCGAGATGACGGGCAGGCCGCCCACCATGGTCCCCATGCCGACGGGCATCACGGGCATCGCCGGCATCCTGCAGCCGGTGGACACGAGCGCGCCGCCCGTCTCCCTCGTGGTGCCCGTCGCGCCCGTCAACCCCGGGGAGCAGTAGCCGTGGCTGGGTGTCCTGGAGAGGCTGGAGAGGTCGAGGGGGACGCGCTTCGACCCGGTCCAGAGGCGATTCGTCTGGTGAGTATTGCAGCCACCGGCACCGGCACCGCACTCCAAGCCTTTTTGGCCCTTCCACTGACCCCAGCCTTTGTCTTCATTGCAGGGCATGACGGTCATCGATGAGAACGACATTTTTTGGTGATCTACCTTATTGGCGGGACCAGCAACCAACACGACTCCGCCCAGTAAGTGTTCCCTACCCGTTTTTGAAAATACATACTTCGTATTGTTTGTGAACCCTGCTGACGTTTCTGTGACTTGTGTTCCAGTCTCTGACATGCCGACAACTCCGCGCCGCGCTGCCGCACTGCGGCCGGCGCCTCCTGCTCCACGGTGACGGCGAACAAGACTGTCTCTGCGCCGCCTCGCCCACGCCTGGTCCGCCTGGTCATCGGCGTGCTCTCGGCACCACCCCCTTCCAATGGCATAGCAACGAAACCTCCTGCCGCCGTGGCCGTGACGCGGGTCAGCCTGGTGGCAACCCCACAGGGAAGTCCACCCTGCGGCAGCCTGGTGGCAACCCCTGAGGGAAGTCCCACCTGCGGCAGCCTGGTGGCAACCCTAGGTAGCCCTGCGGCTCCCCTCGGCACGTCCACAGCAACTCTCCGGGACTCCCGATAGTTACACATTCCTGTCGCACTCCGCGCCATCATTTTGTTTATTTTTTTTCTTCGTTTTTTTTTTTTTTTTTTTGTAATTGCGTGCGACACGTGGCTATTGGACTGAAGTTGCTAGCTCGCGCTCTATGAGCCTTCTGTAATTCGTAGGGACTGGTGATCTCATATTATAGTTTAGTACGTTTCTATTATTCTTAGTTAAGTAATTGTCGGAAAGGACAACAAAATATTCGTAAGATGTGCAATGTATTGTGTTGATTTTACACTTCTGTACTTTAATCTTTCAACCGAATTAAGCAGGTCCCTAAGCAAATGTTACCATATTGCGCATATCTCGCAGGGTATTTGAAACGAAACTGCAAGACCAATGTCTCATCGGAAGATAAAGGTGTTTTCTCCTTGTTTTAAAATTCAGGTTGTAGGAACAATGTTGCACTAGTCAGATACTTTTGTGAACACTTTCAAACATTTCTCCGTAAATCCACTTCCCAATTTAGTTTGTCAGTCTTTTTCAAGTAACACCAAACTTCTTATTATTTTCTTCTTTTTTAAAAAATGTTGCTTTGCAAGTGTGCATAGTTTCTGCTATACCTTTAACTTTTGCTCTCTTCATTTTCTGATATTTTGAGACATGTTGTGTTGTATTGGACTTGTGTGATTGGACTTTGACTGAGATTGTAATCATCTGGTTGGTTATAGAGATGGATGCCCCAGTAGTGCCATGTTGAAGATTCTGTGGCACCCCTGGGAAACTATGTTTCTGAGATGTATTTGTGTTGGAAGAATACAAGTATTTATTTTGTTAATCAGTCTCTTATTTTGAATGTTCCATACTTCTAGAAAATCAGACAAACCATAGATTACACAGACTAGAGAGCCTGTCTGAACGATAAAGTTTCCTGTTCAGACAATACACAATATCCTTGCGGATAACATTAAAATGAATAAACTAAAGCTACACGCACCATGAGTGTTGCATAAAACTAACATCGTACGAGTCAGGTACTTGTCAAAACAGCATACCACAGCTTTTGTCCAGCAGTGCGAGACTGCATTTTGGCGAGGCGCGCACCAGAGTTGCACCTCGGCGTCGCCCATTGTCTTTGGCGCCGGACGCGGACGTCGGAAAACTCTCCATTGCTGAGCACGCGACACGCGACCGCGTGCAAGCACGGCACGGAGGACAAGCGGGGCCAGCACAGAGACACCAAGTCAAAGTCACCGTTTGGGCGGCTTCCTCCGCAAACCGCGACGCAGGCGCTTCGCCGTCGTCGCCGACCGCAGTCTCCGCGGTGGCGGCGTGAGCGGCGTGGACGCGGACGCGGCGGCGGCCCGCGGCGGGGGTGCCCCCTTTCTGACGGGCAGCCGAGAGACGCCCCCTCGGCGGGCCGCGGCGGCGCGCTGCGGCATCCTGGTGGTGGACGACGTCGAGGCTTTGTGCAGCACGCCGCACGGGGCCTCGACCTGCGTCCGCGGCGGCGAGTGCGACGGCACGGGGCATCTTGTGGTGCAGCAGGGAACGGGGCCGCGACCGAGGCGCAGAGCGCAGTGCCGCGGCTCGAGCAGCGTTCTCTGCGGCAGCGGCTGCTGCCTCTTCACCACGACGGGGGCGTTCTTGGGAGGCGGCGCGACGCTCTGCACGGGGAGGGCTGTACGCCGCGCTGGTACCGGGGGCGCGTACGGCGGGGGCGGCACGGGGGCCTTGTAGGCGCGGGGCGCCTGTTCGACAACACGGCTGGACGAGGGTGGTGTGCGGCGCGGGTCGAGGGGCCGGTCGAGTGTCGCTGCAGAGGCCCGCGCGAAGGGCGACGCCGGCGCCAGGGTGGCCCTGGTTAGCGGCCTGGCTGACGGCCTGGCTGACGGCGGCCGCGTCCACTGAGGTGGGGGTTGCACGCCGAGGCGCACGTTGGTGGCAGGCCTGGCAGGCTGCTGAGTATACGCCTTCCGGGGCATCGGCCGTGGAGCCTCGATGCGTGGTGGTGCCTGCCGGTGTGGTGCGCTCTGACCGCTCTGCCTGCGCCAGGACGACGACGACGGCATCTCCATCAAGTCGTCGTTCGCCTTGGTGGCGGCACCGGTCGCCGAGCGCGCTGTCGTGGTGGTTCGGGGCGCCGGGCGTGGAGGTTGCTGCGGTGCGGCGTGCCCCGACGACGACGAGGGGCGCGCCCTGGTGGCCGAGGTTGACGACAGAGGGCGCCGGCAGGAGTCCCAGGGTGTTTTCGAGGCAGACTTGTCCGCTGGCCTCTGACGAGGAGCCGCGACAGGGGTTGCTGCTGCACCTGGTGCGGAAGGAACATTGTGGGGAGACGACCTCTGGTGGACGGGCGCAAGCAAGGCAGGGGTGCTGTGAACGACGTGGCGCCCCGCCGGGCCGACGGACTGCAAGGACTTCAGCCCCTGCAAGGCCGTGGGGGCCGTGGGGGCCGTGGGGGCACGAGGCGTCGAGGATGAGCTGCGCGCCGAGGATTTGCCCTCGCGCACAGAGCTGGTCGCCGCGGGGGCTTCGCGCAGCTCGCGCAGCGGCAGCCGCGTCGCGGGGTATGCTCGCGGGGCCAAGGCCGAGGCCGTCAGAGTCCTTTGCGACGTGGAGTATCTCTGCGGCGCTGGGGCTGGGGCGCGAGGGGCGTAGCGTGCTGCGGCAGTCACGGTGAAGGGCTGGAAGGGCTGGAAGGGCTGGAAGGGGGCGGGGCTGGCCGCGCCGCTGGAGGCGGGGGAGTGCAGTGCGGGGCTGCGGCTCTGCGTGGGGTGGCGGGGCGGCGGGGGCGCGTTCCTCGCGGGGGAGGGGCCCCACGGACCCCGGCTCGACTTGGGACCCCATTGTGGTGCGGCCGGCACCGCAGGCATCGGCTGCTGCCTGAGCGGGTGCCGCTGCCCCGTGGCCGTCCTCAGCGGGGTCACCGACATGACAGGGCTGTTCGAGAAGCCCTGCACGGCGGCGGCCCAGTGCACTGCGAGGGGCAGCTCGCCGTGGCACGACCACCGAGCTGAGGACGGCGCCGCGGAGGGCCTGTGGTCATAGGGAACGAGTTAGGGCGCCATTCAGCGATCCAGCGACTTCAACGAGGCGGTGCACCTGCGTGCTGGGGAGGACGGCGCTGTCGTGGGGCTGAGGACGGGCCGAGTGGGTCGCATCGTCATCCTGGAGGGGCCGCCGCTCGGCCGCCGCCAGCAAGCATCGTCGTCGCGAGCCTCGTCAGGCACCCCCTGGAGGAGCGGCGATTCGAACAGCCTCCGCACCACCAGCCCCTCGCCGAGCCGGGCCGCTCGCGCCGCTTTGGCCATGGCGTACGCCCTGGCCCTGGTCCTCGACGCCGTGCTCGTAGGGAGGGACGGCATCGGCTGCCCGGCGGCCGCGCGCCGAGGAAACGCCCCCTGCCTTGAGTTACAGGGTAAGCAACCCGTATGTAACTAAGTCCACTTAGAACAATAAAACAGATTTCGCATTTTTCACTGTTTTGTCCAACTCCGCTTTGGCAAAGGACTGACCTAGCCGCAGGGGTCTGCTCGAGGACCGGCTGCCACTGAGGCCCCTTCCAGCGGGGGGTGTCCACTGGTGACGGTCGCGAGGGGGTCGCCGCGAGGACGCGGCCCATCATCCTGCCCGGAGTGATCCGCGGCGCCATCCGCCACTGGGACACCTCGACAGGGGCGGCCTCGTCGCGCCTGTCGACACAGATCAGTCCATGGGGCGTTCCGTGTAGGTGCGAGAGAAACAGAGCGACGAAAACGACTCTCGGAATCAGTCTGCAAGTCTGCAGAGGTGGCCGGGTGCCCAGCCTTGCCTGTCGTGGAACACGGGCCGCGAGCGCTCCCTCCTCCTTGGCGGCGGCGGCGGCGGCCTCCGGGAAGCCCGCAGCTCGCGTTCCTTCCGCAGCGAGTCCGGCGCCACCAGGTTGGAGATGGACAAGTTGCGGCGCATGGGGTTGGACACGGGGGGCGCGGTCTGGGCCACGCGCGGCCACGGCGCCAACACGCCCTCCTCGGACAGCGGCACGAAGAACCGCGGCCGCGGCTCGGCCACCGCGCACACTCCGGGCGGAGGGCGCGGCGAGGGCTGCGCCGAGGGCTGCGGGGACACCCTCGGCGACGACCGCGCGGACACTCTCGGGGAGAGCCGCGGAGAGTGTGGCGAGGGGCGTCGCGAAGGGGTCCGCGTCGTCGCGGAAGGGCACTCCAGGGGCTGGCCGTGCAGGGAGCGGCTGCTGCCGTGGAGGCTGCTGTGGAGACCGCCGTGGAGGCTTCTGTGGAGACTGCCGTGGAGGCTGCCGTGGACGCTGCCGTGGGGGCTACTGTGGACGCTGCGGCCCCCAGACCGGCGGCACACGCTCAGCTTGCTCGCGCTGTGGCTGCGGTACAGGTTCACGTACACCTCCTTGTGCGCCGTGGTCGCGGGCGGTGATGGCGGCCTGGACACCTGCACCACCTGCAGCAAGCGGTTCGGACGCCACGGTCAGGGGCGTAGCAGCGTGGGATGAAGAATCCCAGAGCGACCCCCTTTCATACCGTACCGGTATGGAGTGCACGCTGGCCTTCGGGCTGGGTTTGGGACTGGGTTTGGGGCTGGGTTTGGGGCTGGGTTTGCAACTAGGCTTGGGGCTTGGCAGGGCGCTGACGACGCGAGGGCTCTGCGGCGGGCTGGCATCCTCCGTGCGGTGGTGGCGGCGCAGCGCCCCCAGCGGGGCCAGCAGCCTGGCGAGGAGGCCGGCGGCGCCGTGGCGAGGGCCGTGCCGGGGACTGCCCGCGGCCACGACGGGGTGCTCGCTGGAGTGTGGCGGCGGCGGCGGCGACGTGCGGCTCCGCTCGCGGCCGCCCTGCCGTTCCGGCGCCAAGTCCGAGAAGGCCCAGATCATGTTGCGAGGACGCCGCCGGAGCGCGGCGGGTGATTTGGACGGATTGCGATACTGCAGACGTGTCGAAGCACCCATGTGTTTGGTATTGAAACGGAGACCAGCCACCTCGGGCTGAGGTCGACGGAGACCTACAGAGACCCACCTGAGGGGCGGGGGCGGGCATGGGCGGTCGCTTCCGCTGTGCAGGCGGGGTCTTTGCTGGCGGTGGCGGTGGCGCCGGGGCCAGTTCCACGTCCTCTTCTCTCGGCTCCTCCGGGAGCAGCGCCGCGGATGCCGGCGGAGTCGCCGGTTCACTCGGACTGACCGCGGTCACCGTCACAGTCGAGCTGGCCGAGGCCGGGGCCGAGGCCGAGGCCGTGGACCCCGCCGGCGAGGGCGACGTGAGCAGCACGCCCATCCCGAGGTCGTTGTCGGAGCCCGCGGAGCCCGCCAGCCCGGGCGGCAGTAGGCACGTCTTGACGGCGTCCACCCGCATGCGCACGGGCGGCAGCGGTACCTGCTCGAACGCCCACTCCGAGCATTGACCACTTGAAGCCGGCCCTGATCCAGCAGCCCGACTCGTCGCCCTGCCCTCTCGGGCGTGTCTGCGAGAGTGACAGAGCGACGACACCGACCAACCATTACCAGCAGGCCGTCCACGGCCGCGATGCCGCGGTGCTGCGGAGCGGAGACGGCGGCGGGGGCGGCCGGGACGAAGGGGCACGACTTGGTGACGCCGTGGGGCTGCCCGGGCTGTCCCTGCTGTCCCTGCTGGGGCTTGGCGCAGGGCGCGCACGGCCTCGCGGGCCTTGAGGGCGGCGGCTCGGCGCGCGAGGACACCATGCCGTCCCACGTGGGGCCCAGCGTGGGCGCCGAGCGGCTCAGTGGAGCCATGGCTGTGTACAGTGTAGGCACAGTCAAGTCAGTCACGGCGAGATGAAGCGTTGGGAGCCAGGGCTCCGGTCGGCCCACCCTGAGAGAGCGAGAGAGGCAGGAGGAAGAGAGCTCTGTTCGGAATCCGACCATCCACCCACCGCACGACAGCGAGATGACAGACTCACCGGAGCGAGCGGTGAGATCGAGCAAGGCAACCCCGGCGGGGTGAGCTTGAGCGGACCCCCGGCTGCACCCCTGTCCGCGGTCCGGGCCTCGTCCGCTCACCCAGCAGCCCGCGGCCGCGGGCCCCCCTCGATGCCGCGGGCTGGACTCCACGCCTCACCGAACCTCCAGGGCCTCCAGGGCCTCCAGGACCGCGGCGGCCATGGTGTCAGACGGGAACGCGTCCCAGAATGCCCGCAACCTGCTACAGACACGCCGAGTGATGGCGTTGAGAAAGTTCCTGGGTCACTGAGAGGTGTGCAGCAGCCGGTGGCGGTGGCACGAGCACGGCGTCGAGGGGCAGGGCCAGGTACGTAGAGGGCACCTCACGAACCGACGAGCACAGCAGCCCTCCGCACGGTGGACCACTGTGCGCCGGCCGGCCCCTGCCTGCCCCTGCCGCAGACTACGGCATGGTCCAGTCCAGCATTTACCGGCAGCCCGTCCACGTCCACGGCCGTAACGGTGAGTGGCGGTCCGCATCCGATCTTGCGACAAACCAAACGGCGCGAGAACATGTCTCGACTTCCCTCAACAGTGGCAAGATGGCGGCCGCATGCGACGAAACGTCGCAAACTGAGCCAATTTGAAAGGAACATCTCGAGCCCCTCCCGTTGTCAATGAAAAAGTCTTATGAACGAAATTCTATCTAATTGATGAAGTGGAGTGATGGTTTGTCTGAATCAATCTACGGAAAACATAACGTTTCGCACGACTTACGCACCCCATTGACGTTGGACGGTTGGTACAACGATGCATCAGCTGCTGCTGAAAACAAACGACGTCGACGACGAAAATTCGGCCCAGCCGAGAAGACTTTAGTGGAGGACAAGGTGTCAAGGTCTTCCTCTCATCCAAGTCGGCTTCGAACGAATCCGCAATCATGGCAGCGCTATTGAAATCCGCCGTAGCAAGTAAGTATCGTAAAATCCATAGTAATTGAAGCTCGACGCTTTAAGTGGCAACTTGTCGCCCCGTGGGAAGGGGCTGAGCGTAGTCTGCTCTTTAGCACGCCTAACTGAAACGACGACGAATCCTGCTATTTTCACTATAATTAGACTTAACATAAACAGATATCCTGATTTTTTCTATTTAGATATTATAGTCTTGTAATGACTGCATTTCGGTAATGACGAGTCGGGTGTCAGGATTTGGTTCATGTACACCTAACCTAGTTGTTGTTTCCATCATCACACATTCTGACGAACCTTTTTGTGTACCATATTCTCTGCAGTGATATATGATCGTATTTTTCCCAATTGTGGTTTTATGTTAACGGACTGGTCACTTCCTTTTGTGGTGTTTTTATTTGCTGGGTGTTTTTGTAACCTGTAAACTGTGGACCCGTTGCTGATGAAAATGTTTTGCTTTTCTTCCCCATAGCTGCCCGCCCAGTTGTGGAGAAGAACCTGAAGATTGCTTTGCACTATGCTAAAGCTGAATTGACTCCACCCAAGCCAAATGAACTTGGCCAGGTTGCTAAGGGAGTCAACAACATCCTGACTTCATTCCGCACTGGTCGCTACAAGCAGTTGACTGTCAAGGTAATTGTCATAATTAAATTTTGCCATATTTTGTGGATGTTGTAGAAGGGAACTGATGTTGTTTTCTCTGTTACAGGAAGCTTGGCTGAATGTGCTTGTTGCTGCTGAGGTAGGCTGCTGGTTCTTCATTGGTGAATGTATTGGCAGGAGACACATCATTGGTTACTACATCCCCTAGACAATTACCTTTAGCTATTTGGATTGTAGATTTTATGGTTGTACATTACTTGCGTTAAGTAACTTCTGTCCCAATTTGCCATCTGTTATTGTTAAGGGATATGTTGTCTCAAATTTCTCCTGTCAGACTTCAAATTTGTAATTGGCATTTTAATGGAAATTAAACACATTGAGAGAAAAAACAATTGTATATTTTACAAAATGTAACAGCATAATATGGAAGTAAGGTTTATTGCTTCCACTGAAGGCTAAATCACAATACAACTAAATAAGTATTTTAGTTGTATAAGTACATTAAATGACTTCGTTGATCTTGGTGAGGAAGTACAATTGACCAGAGATCAAATCTTATGATTAAGAAAAATGACCCTACAGCAAGGGTTTCAATGATGGTACAAGGAACTGAACACAGCGTATCATATAATTAAACATACAACATCCTAGCAGTTAAAATAGTTACAAGAAAACAGGTCTAAAGGAAAAAAAAAAGTAGTTGTAAAAGAAAAAGAATTCCTACAAAATGAAATGCATAAAAGGGATAAATGTCCAATTCACACAGCCAGTACACTGCCATTAAGTAACAGGGGTTAAACTATTTATTTTCCACAAAAAGGAAGCCCTTTTTCTTCAATTTCATCATACCCCCATGTTCAAGCCAAACTTCGTTGCAACTTTTTCTTGAGCAACAGCCGCATCACGCAATGCATAGAGATGAGACATTTCAAACTCTGTTTTTGAAAGGGGAATAGCTTTATCAAACAGTTCAACAGCCCTCTTCAAGTTACCCCTAGAAAGAAAAAAAGCACAATGAGCATCTAGGAAGAAGTCAGAAGGTACACGTTTTAGATCGTAATGTTTTACCTCTGGACTTCAATGGTGCCAAGAGTTTCATATGCGAATTCACACTTGGCATCAAGGCTGATAGCTTCCTCAATCAATTTGAGTGCTTTCTCAACATCATTCTTCCACTGCAGTTGTAAGAGGCCTGAAAATAAATACAGTTACAAAATAATGCCTTTGACACAAGTAATACAAAATAATAAATTACACATAGCTGAGTTGTTATTCATACCTCTGTGGACCATCAGGGTACCATTAGAGGGATCCAGCTTAATGGCTTTAGCAAAATACTTGTCAGCTTCTTCATAATTGCCTTTATCAGTGAGCACCTAGACCGAGAGGCAAATTTTAGAGAAATAATGATTCCCAACGCTAACTACAAAAATTGAGAAATAATCACAAACCTGAGCATATAACATGTAAGTTTCTGTGCAATCAGGGAACCGTTCTATTGCTTCTTCAAAGCTTTTCTTGGCCATTTTGAAAGCTGATGGATCATTTGCCCCAGAACTGAAGCGATAATCGATGTAACATTTTTGCACATAAGCAATGGGGAAGGTTGGATTTAGTTCTACAGCATGGGCAAAATCTTTTTTGGCTTCTTCAGCCTTTTCCAGCAGAAGATTCATCTAAATTTAAAACAAAGAAGGTTCACTTTTAACAAGTTAACAGCAGCTTCACACGATATTTTATTGACTGGATTCAAAACAACAGACCTGCCCACGGTGGTGATAAACATCCGAGTTCTCGGGGTCAAGAATAGCAGCTCGCTCGAAGTCCTCAAACGAACGATTTGGATCATCCATTTGCACATGCAAGGAAGCTCTTTTGATTAAAGCATTGACACGCAACTGAAAAAAAAACCACAAACATTAAATAAAACATGAACTTAATATAAATAATAACAGAAATTTTGAAAAAATCACATAGAAATTACTTTTTTGTCAGCCATGTCATTTTCAATGACTGCTTCTAAGTCTGCCAAAGAGTTTTTAATTTCCCCGAGCCATAAATAGAAAGTGCCTCGAAGTAGAAGAGCAGCCATAGCACTGCCTCCATCAGCTTCAACTGAATCAATTTCCTCTGTGCAAGCTGCAACAATCTGGTCATACTCCCCAACAGCAAAGGCATGCTTGGCCTTTTCAAAGCCCCTAAAAAGATATTAAAAGAAGGCAAAGTATCAATTACAGTCAACTCAACAAGACCATCACAATATTTTCAGAACTTAAAAAAATGAAACATACTTTTTTGATGCAAGATCTTCTGAAGAAAGCCTTTCAGGTGTCAACTCGGCCTTAATAAGCTTCTGAATTGGATCTTCACTAAATGCTGACAGGAAAGTTCGGATAAAGTATCTAGACGGCATTTGTGGCTTGCGATTCAGGAGTGCCTCCTTGGCATGCTTACGGCCTAAAAGGTAATAAAAATGAATAAAAGTACACCTTATAATCGTAAGATAAAATTACATTTGTTAATAAACATATGTTCACCTAAGGCCTTCAGGACTCTGTCGGCCTGCACAATTGAGGATTGGTTCTGGAATCCTTCAAGAATGCAGACAGCTGTTACATCTTCCAAGCATTGTGCCAAATCCTCACTCTGCTCTAATGCTTTAGCTCTACGCTGCAGAGCTTTAACATATCTAGGATTAAGTTCTAGAGCCACAGAACAATCTTCTATCACTTTTGAATAATTTCGCTGTTTAGGAAAGCAAAAGAAAATTAAGAGAAGCAACTTTGGCTGGTGCCTTTTACAAACAGTCCAGTTGACACTTCCTGGCCAATTCACACCATACAAGACTAATTAGTGTCTTGTTGAGGGGAGGCACAACAGTAACTGGTACTGCTTTTGAAAAGAAGCAAGGACAGTTCTTGATGGTGGTTACATCTTAAGATGGTTCTCCCAAACTCTTACCAGTTGTTCATAAGCAGCAGCACGATTTTGATAAAACACATCCGATTTTTCTGTGCTAGGACATGCCTCAATAGCTTTTGAATACATCACAATAGCATCATCATATTTTCCAGCCTTGAAGTGCTTGTTGCCTTCATTTTTGTAAAGTTGTGCTTTCTTAAAGGGGTCCTATAAAACAAAAGAAGCAAAAGCAGAGCTTAAATTGAGACAGAAATCACGTATAATATTACAAGTTGTAAAAACAGGTGAGGATTTAATGGCAGTAAAAAGACAGCTTGGCGTTGGGAAAAAGGGACACTTGAAAATTTGTGGATCAAGAAACAGTGCTCCCTCTAACAATAAAACTGACAAAACTGGACGAAAAATTTCAAAAAAAAGTAAAACAAAATAGTGTTTTGGTATGATGTGAGAACGTAAGTTTGACAATGTCAGGTGAAATTTAAGGGTCACTCTCTTACTTTACAAGGACGCCAGACGTTAAGAACCAAGATTTAAGTGATGTAAAGATGAATTACCTTCTCGTTGGCAACCAATGATTCAATTGATTCCAGCGTGTTGAGTTCCGGCCCGTCCATGGAGGAAGCCTTTGAGGTTGGTTTCCCGTTCGTTGAAGTACCGGACAGGCTTCGGTTGCGATTTTTCCCTGACCTTCTGTAATACCAGTAGCTGACTCCGGCCACAGCTAAAGGGGCACCGACTACTACGGCAACTTGCCATTTTGACCACGAATTTCCACCCTGATTCAGGGGACACACTCTACTCACGGCAGCCATGACAGCGGGAAGTGTAAAGAACGGTCATGGCCCTGCCAAGAGTTTCAGAGGTTATAGGCACGTCAGGGCGGCAGACGACAAGCAGACGACGGCACAGACAAATAAATTTAAACTGAGCATTGAATGAGGTCAACGATGATGACAAGCACCAATGTTTCAATCAGAAGTTTCTGAATTGCTGTTTCGTGGTCGAGACTTTCATTCACGGCCAATAGTCACATAAAGGAGAGTTGAGGCGTTCTTTTCTCGGCTGCAGGCCTGTCCGGCGGTTGCTAGGTAACCAGAACCGCCAGAAAGTCAAAACACTGAACACTGAGCTGTGTGAGGCATTCGGGCGTACGCCCGGCAGAGTTTTCAGTATCATTCCAATCCTATTCAAGACTTATTAATATGGATTTAATATTCCTTGCTCTAAGTTTATATAAGAAAAGACAATTTGAAGAATGTGTCAAGACCTGTACAGAGCTGCTGGATAAAAATCCTTTCGATCAGGTGTGCTGTCTACCTTAATTTAAGTTGTGATGAAGGCAACGCTCCTCACTGTACATACTGTAATCATTTTTCTGCAGGCTGTGTGGGTCCTGAAGATGAAAGCTCTCACAGAGCAACTTTATGTGGATGATTTGGAAGCTGAGGAAGAGGGAATTGCAGAGGCTTTTATGGATAATGAAACAATAGCAGAATCAGCTCGACCAGGGACCTCTCTCAAAAATCCTGGCACCTCTCAAGGTGGCTCTACGCAAGGATACAGGTACACATAATTGTCTTTAGATGCTGCCAAATCTGTAACTGCCACTGCCATTTAGAAAAAAAAAAATTTTCAGGCCCTGGACTCAAACTGGTCGCCCTGTTAGTGGTGTGGTTCGTCCGGGCACTCAAACAGCTAGACCAGGTACAATGGAACAGGCATTACGTACACCTCGTACGTCAAAAACAGCTCGACCATCTACAAGTCAGTCAGCTCGAACTATTCGACTTGGCACAGCATCAATGTTATCTGAGCCAGGAGGACCATTCATTCAGTTATCTAGGATAAATCTGGGAAATTATGCAGCCAAACCTTCCCTTGCAAAACCACTTTTCCTGTACATTCTGTATCATGAAAATAGTATACGTCATGTGAGTAAGAATACTGTTGGTCAACCTTTGAGAAAAACTTGTAGAAAAAATGCTTATTCTAAACCTTTCTCACAGGCATTACAGCTTGCTGTTCTGGCTACACAAGCATGTGAATTTAAAGACTGGTGGTGGAAAGTACAACTTGGAAAGTGCTATTATTCTTTAGGGTTGATGCGTGAAGCTGAGCAACAATTTAGATCAGCTTTAAGGTATCATTGTTCTTAAACTTTGTCAATAAGAAGTAAATAAGAGAAAAATATATAATTTTTTATTTCAGGCAGCACCAATGCATTGAGACATTTCTACGGCTTGGGCGAGTATACATTCGTTTGGATCAGCCCCTTTCAGCTTTGGATGTTTGTCGCACTGGCCTAGAATATTTTCCAAAGGAGATTACTCTTCTCACAGAAATCGCACGGTGCGTAAACCAAGAAATTGTACAATTGGTCTTAATTCCTCCTTGAAGGAAAAGAAGAATTAATTCAAGGAAATTTCACTGCATGGTTTGTGCATACCTTAAAAGGGTCAGATGACAAGCCATTTGGATCAAAATAGTAAACAATATATTTTCTTAACTGTTATAGGATTTTTGAAGGTCTAAATAATATGACAATGTCTGTTAAGTACTACAGAGAAATAGTGACAGAAGACTCCACCAATGTTGAAGCAATAGCATGCATTGGTATGCATCATTTTTACACAGATCAGCCTGAAATGGCTCTACGCTTTTACAGGTCAGCCTTTTCTGAAGATAATAGCCCACCACTTTTCTCTGCAAATGTGATGGGCACACATCATTTCTTTAGTTGATGTTTTCCTGCTAAATTGTGTATTTTTTTTTTTTCAGACGTTTGTTGCAGATGGGCCTTTACAACGCCGAGCTGTTCAATAATTTAGGCTTGTGCTGTTTTTATGCTCAGCAGTATGACATGACACTGAGCTGCTTCCAGCATGCATTAAGTTTAGCCAAAGAAGATGATGTAGCTGATATTTGGTACAACATTGGACTCATAGCCATAGTGCGTATGTTCTATAAACCCTTCACATATACTCTTTTCTTTACATGTGGAACTGTATCATAGCTGGCTTTCCTTTATCAGGGGGTAGGAGACACCCGTCTTGCTGGACAATGCTTAAGATTAGCAATTTCTGCTGATAGCTCTCATGCCCCAGCTTACAACAATCTTGGCGTATTAGAATTAAGAAGAGGCCGTGTAAATGAAGCTCGGGCTTTTTTTCAAGCTGCTGCAAGCTTGGCACCATACTTGTTTGAACCATATTTTAACCATGCAGCTTTATCCAACAAGGTGAAGTATCTTGTTCAGCAATATCTTTGAGCCACCTTTTCCAACAGAGCAAACAATTAATGCCCACAATGAATGTTTATTTCTCTCTTTGCAGTTAGGAGACCTGCAGGCCAGCTACATAGTCATTCAGAAATCACTTGAGGCATATCCCAGTCACATCCCATCACAAGAATTGTTGCATGCACTAGAGAAACATTTCACATTTATTTAGTTAATATACAGCTGCATGTGATGATGCACATTATGTGTGTGATGAGTGTCCTTATGATAAAGACCAAGACCACCAATGGAATTAAATCTAATTGATATAGTTTTCCATGCATAGTAAATTTATCTTCATTTATCAGAAATAAAATTAACTCAACAGATCTAAAATATCTCATACAGTAACATTAAAATAGTTGTTGAACTTCTCACTCGCAAAACACAAAAAAAATAATTTGGTCAGCAGAATGTTTTTTCAAGTACTTAAATGAAAGAAAAGGTCATATCGACATACCAGAAAAGATATCACATGGTAAAATGCAGTGTCAAAACTTCAAGTCTTTTATTGCTTGAGGAAAGTCTGGCAACTTCATATCTTTTATTTGTTGTGGAATGTTCATGTTCTTGACAGCTGAAACTGCTCTGGCAGGGGCGGCAGCTATTCCGGCCTGTAAACAAACAATTGCAAATAAGTGTTAGATTACGAAGCTCATTATCTAATGCTAAAAACAGCTCCAGTTGAGCACGTCCTCAAAAACGAAACATAACAAAGCTCCTCTAATAGATCTGGTGTATTCACAATAAAGCAGCGAAATATTCTTGAAGTGTGCATGCAACATGTTTCAATTTGTTCAAACTTCGACAATGTCAAAAAAGTAAATTGATATAATCCCAAGTCGGAAGAAATTTGTGTTGAGCCACTTCATAGAAATAATCAGCCCAGCTATAAATTCAAATTGAGATATAATGGAATAATTTAGTCAAAATATCAAGGCATATGGATGTTGAGAAAGTTCACAACCACAGTCAGCAGAAAACACCAAGCAGGTTTCTTAAAAACAAAAGGTGACAAAGAAAACAAACACTCCATAGGATAAAAGCCAGAGAGTAGGTTTGGTTTCCACTAGAAAAAAAGAGGTATTAAGCATAATACAGCTGATGATATCTAGGAGTGTTCAATTAACTTAGAACAGTTACAGAAGACAGAGCAGGTCACTTCTAGCCATATTTGAGCCACCCTGACCTAACTGTAAAAATGCAAAACAAATAAAAACAACTAAATTGTGTGCTGTGCTGTGCTTCAGAATAGAAGGTATGCATTAGTGCCTCCGCGGTGCACTTCAAGATGGTAAAATTTGCTTGTAAGTATCGTATGCCAGATTTGGAAGCAGTAATGCGCCTTCAACAAAGCAAAGCACACATCCTGAAATCACACATACACACAAAAGATTTATTGAATTTGTTTCTAACTTGAGATAAAATTATACAAAAGCAACATAATATGGCATGACCTTCATAAGCAGTGAAGTTTTAGAATCTAATTCTGTTTTCCCTTTTCTTATTACTTCTAAACTACAAGAGAAGTCAATGACAAATTTGTCAGCAATTTAAAGGGCATTTGTGCAAATGACAGGGTCCATGCAAAGCACACAGCAAATGTGCTTAAATGGCTTGTCAATTCACACTCATGAGAGACTTGAGACAGGAATAAAGATTTACTTTCTGATAGAATTTCAAAATGAAGGTGAAGGAAGGAATAAGTTTCTTCGCAGGCGCTTAGGATGGAAACGAACTGAGGTCCTATTGTTTTCCACAGTAGGAGAGGAAGAAGAGAATGAAGATGCAGACCAAGGGCTCTGAAACCCACAACGAAAATTATGTTAAAAAGTACTTTGCTTTTACTTGACTGGAACTTTCCATCCCGGGCACTGATTTGTAAATAAAGAATCACCGATCCAGATAGCTGGAAAAGACAATAACAACACAATCACCGAATTTCTTCTGGCCACTGAAAAGCATTTCACAATATTTTGCAGTCAAAATTGAAAGGAAAAACTATTAAAAATAAGATTGATTCTCACTCGCGAATACAGAAAATAATTGAAAACGCCAGACACCAGTACTCAAAATGTAAAAAAAGGATATACTATTGAAAACAAAAGAATAATAGTTGCCAGCATAGATCTCTCTAGATCATTTGTTAAATGGCTCAAGTTGTGTTTGTCTAAAAGGATTTAACAATTTAAAATTTGATAAAAAATGTGATAGAATATTATTCCAGTATTTTGCTTCTCAAAGGCAGCAGATTTGTTAGATTCACATTTTTTTAAAATTAGCACTCTGTTGAGGTCCTTGAAGTGAATATCACTTCATAAATATTAAAAAAAAAAGTTTGTCATAAAAAATAGGAAGTCGACATTTTCTTACACTAGTTTATTTGATCATGATTCCAATTGATGAGATTATTTCAGTCTATTTGGTGATTCCAACCGATTCCATCATCACAAGTTCATTGTAAAGTTATATGACCTGTATGATGAAACAGACATGAATATTAAACCATGTAACCTTTATAAAACAAAATGTAAAAGAGGAAAAATTTATGCCTTGTCAAAGTCATGAGATAAATGAAGGATCAGCTTGCCATTCTTCAATTCTTCCTATCTCAATTGTTCAGTGCTAACAGCTTGTATGAGTCTAATATCCAAGTTCAGATATTGATGAATCATAGCACACAATCAATACAAGTAGCATACGTGTCTATAGATAATTATAAACATCAACTTACAAATTATAGACTGGAACACATTAGTTGAATGAACTAGACATGATATTGTATAAAACACAATAAGGTGAAAGCAACATTCGAAAAAGCAAATTGTATCGTTAGATAATTAACATGATGATTTGACTGTTGCATATCTATTCTAAAGAGCACAAAATACCATAAATCATGTAGATGAGGTGAGATAGCGGTAGTTGCTTTTGCATGATGGTTTGGTGTTGACATGAGTTCAGCTATAAAATGCGCAAAGACAATACACTTGCACTAGTGAGATCCGTTTACTACGCAACTAATCGCTACGCTAAGAAGTAATATGAAAAACAATCACTTCGAAATTTTAGACTTTGACCATAACCACTTTCAATGGTATTTGAAAACTGATTTAATGTGGTCAATGGAGCGATTAAACTAGTTATATAAAGCAGAGCTGGAGAAATCGTAATTTAATCCAGTAAAGATATTTGACTAGGAACTGATCAACAAACCAAAATATCACCGATGTGAATTCAATTACAGATGTGTCAGGGGGACCGGAAGCGGGACGTTGCTTTCAATCATAGTTAACCTTGAGATGAAAGTTTAACTAAAAAGCCTTTCAATTTGCTTATTAAGTGCGATCAATTATTAAAATTTTGACATAAAACTCTTTCGCAAATGCCCTTCAATCCAGCAATGATAGGAGTTTAGGACCCGTTTCGGTCTTCCTGTAGACATTTTCAGTATGATACTGTTGGTACGTGCAAGACAGCTTTCTGTTTTGGTGTATCTGTTAGGTTATTTCTATCTGTCAATGATGAATTTTTATCGAAATGAACGGATTTTTGGATCTTTGGTTATTTGTTAAGGACAGTATTAACATATTTTGTTATTTTTAAATCCAACTGTCACAGCAGCTGCCATGTTAAATATATCAGAGTGGGATTTTGATAAAGTTGAGGATGGCACTCATAGTAAGTGGTTGATTGATATATTTAAGATGTATGTAAATGACGCATGAAGATAATTTTTTCGTAGAATTTATGCATGGATCCCTTCACTGCCTTTTAAAAATTCTTGTTCCAATATTATTTCGATGGATGTTTTGCACCCTTTCAATGTTCATCCATGCCCTATTATGTAAGCACATGCAACTTCACTGAGTACCCCTTTGCACCGCTCTCCTGTTTTATTTTAATTTGTCTTGACATGTACTTTTGTAAAAGGTTGAACATTGAAGTTTTTTTTTTCATGTATCCTACTATTACACACTGGTCTGTCATTTTTGCAGAAATTGCTGGAGAAGTACAATTACGTAGTTATGGCTCGTTTCTTGAAGAGTACAGCTCGCAGCTTCAAGGTATAGAAGAAGCTCTTGAAGACCATATATCTGATTCCTGGGATATTACTGTTGACCCTATAGCCTTACAGGTATATTGAGTTCATATTTAAATTGCCGATTGCCTTAAAGTATTTTGATTTGGTGTGCTAAATGTCCCGCTTAACTTACAGTTTCCTGCTTATGAGAAAATAAATCTGCTTGACCTAGTAGAAACAGATAATAAAATACTGAGCAAAGTCCTTAGTGTTTTTGCTGTACTCTGTTCTGAAGTAGAACTCTTAACCAGAGAAGCACGTGTGTCATTTTATGATGCCATTCTTTACTATGGAGAGGGTGGTGAGTAAAATAGTAGTATTGATGAGAATTGAAGTCACAGTTGCCGTTGCCGTGTTTTCTTAAAGAAACTTTATTTTCAGCAGAAAGTGAGTCGCTTCCTGAAGGTGAATGGCAGGTGCAAGTGGCGAGATTCTTACCAAAACTTCAAACTTTGTGGGCTTGGGTAAAGCGTTGCAGCAGGGTATGTCAAGAACTAGTGGCCCAGTTAGTTGCTCTTTACTCTACACAGTACAATGGAAAACCGTTAGTCTGTGCATCAGAGGTCCACTTTCAGGTGAATCAGATCTTCCTTCTCTTTGTTTTCTGCCCTTTCAAATTAGACTGTTTGCTGAAGATTTTTTTTTTTTTGTTGCAGGAGGTCTTGGAACACTTGGGTGATCTCCTGGTGGCTCTAATCACTGTGGATGAAATGCTTCGGAATCAGGGAACCCTCCATGACCATTGGACATTATTTTGCAGAATGTTGAAATCTGTTCATCATGATCCTGTGGCTGTCGGAATCCAGGCTGAAAAAATGCGTGCCCTTGAGAAACTAGTTGGAGATTATGAAAGCTCTCTTTTGAGTGGAAAAATATTTCAGGTTGAAATTGACACACTTTGAACTCTGAAAATAAAGGTTTAAAGCAAATCTGTACTATGTTTGTGGTTTGTCATTGCCTTGCAGGGAGTGATGCAGAAACTCACCTGTATGAGTGCTCGTTGTTCTGCTGTTGCTGATGAGCTCACAGGCTTTGTCAGGTCTGCTGTTCTTGAATTGGAAACTCGACCTGCTGAACTCCAGGATGCTGATCACTGGTCTCGTTGGGTGAAGTTAAGTGCCCTTTTGGTGATGAACTTCAGTCTTTTTGGAACTGTTGATAGGAAAGTTTTCAAACAATTATGGGATGTTAACAAAAAAGTAGGTACTTGTTTCTATTTTAAATAAGCCGTTTTGTTCTGCCTTTTCTTGTCTTAAAATAATAAAAATAATACAGTATCTGTAACTTTTTTTAAAATTGTCTTTCCAGATTCCAGCTGTGACACTTTATGCTAATATTGTCTGGTTCCCAGAACAATTTCTTTTATTTCATATTCCCCAGCTTAATAAAATAATTGATAAGAAAGCTCAACAGCAAGTGTCTGCTGCAAGACAAGCCTTTCTAAATTTAAAAGCTCAGAGCCTACCAAAAGAAGTACAGTTGCATTCATTGCAGGTATGCTATGAATAAGTCACATTAAATAATGTGAAAGTGTATGATTAAATGTCTGATTGGAATGTCCTTGTTAATTTTAATTGAAAATTCTCTTACCATTCAGGTTTGTTGTTGGATGGTTCAAGTTGAGACTGCTTTGCACAAAGAATCCACTAACCTGAAGCTTGAAGACATAAATAACATATGTTCACTTTTACTGCAGGTAAGCATCTATCTTCTTATTTAAATGAATTTTTCCAGATTTTCTTTGAACTAAGTCTGAATTTACATTTCAGGGTGTTCAGTTAGCTTGTGGAATGAGCCGCTTACTTCGCACCTTGACCAATCTCCATGTTGCTCTTGCAAAGCCAATGAGCCGTTCTTCTGTTGTGGCCCTTTGTCGGTTGGTGGAAGTTCTGCAGGGTGTTAGAAGTATGTATCATCGACACTCAGTTTCTATTTCAAGATCTATAGTACATGTCAGCCAGCATCTATTATATCAAGCTCTGACAACCGTGACTGCTGCGAAGGTGAGTGAGCTTATTTTACTTGTTGCAGAATTTTGAAACTATGCTTATATTAATTAAAATATTTTGACACTTACAGAAAAGTCTACTACAAAATAAAAAGTATAGTGAGCAGCATCTTGATGTTTTGTCTGCTTTGCTGGTTGTCGAAAGATCAATGTATGGTTGCACAACTAAGGAGCGACGGCTGGTTACTCGTTTGGCACTTTCAATGGCAAACCAGGGGCGCACATTTCGTGATGAAGATTATATACTGCTACTGGTAAGATCTGGAATGTCTGCTTTCAGTACCTTTGCTACTGTGTTGAAACTAATGCATTCATCATTTTTCCAGAGAACTTTACGTAAGCTTGATGCAGTTTGTGATATGCAATCTAGGTTGTCTGCCGCATGTGATTGCTCCTTCTTATACTGGCACAGGGTAGTCCTGCCTATCTACTTTGAAAGCCTGTACAGCTCTAAAACAGATCTTCACAGACTTGGGGTAGGTGTAAGATTAAGTGCATCCTGGTTGATTCAATGTGAAACAATGTTTGATTCCTGTTTTTACATCTTTCTTCAGTACATGCTATATGCTCTTCGAGACTGTGTTAGGTCAGTAAATAACAGTGGTGACAATTCTGAAAGCCTAAAGGAAATGTTAGAAACTGAAGTGTGGGATTCATTACGTAAATACATTTTGAACCCTCTATGTCATGATATAGAGACAAGTCTGCGGCTGTCTGTTCATGTACATCTGCAGGTTAATGAAAGAAACCCATTCAGCAGTAACATACCTGATTATGGTCCATTGTTGAGAGTTCGTCCCATGCGTTTCTTTGATAAATATATTGACATCAAGGGTATGTGTGATTTTTTTTTCTCGTAATAATGCATTGTATCAGTTGTCACATTTTTATTGCTAACATTTTATAAAAATTTTGCCTACAGGATATGTGGAACATCATCTTGATCAAACATTCTACAATCTTACTACTGTAGCTTTACATGATTGGAAAACTTATGGTGAAATGCGCTGCTTGGCAAAGCTCAAAAACAATCTTGTGACTGTTGAAGATAACTTACCAAGTCAGACACTAGAGCAGGTAATGGTAGTGCAAAATTTCCATTTCTATGAGGTGTTATTTTGGCTTGCGTTAATTTAATTCCATCCAACACAGGGATTAGACGTCCTCGAAATTATGAGGAATATTCACATATTTGTCTCAAAGTATCTGTACAATTTGAACAATCAGATCTTTGTAGAGCAGTGGAGCAATAACAAACATTTGAATACAATAAATATTCGACACATTGCAAACTCCATTCGTACCCATGGAACAGGCATAATGAATACCACTGTAAGTTTGTTTTTCATATACCTTTTTTCAGTGTCTTTCAATTATTCTCTTTTAATTAAATGACTGAAATTTCCAGGTTAACTTCACCTACCAGTTTCTGAGGAAGAAGTTCTTCACATTCTCTCAATTTATGTATGATGAACACATTAAATCTCGCCTTTTGAAAGATCTGCGGTATTTCCGTGAGAACAAAACCCAATTGGAACAAAAATATTCTTATGAAAGAGCAGACAAGTTCAATCGGGGAATCAGGAAGTTGGGTCTAACACCTCAAGGACATAGTTATTTGGACCAATTCAGAATGCTGATCAGTCACATTGGTAAAGTTTAGTAAATACTTTAAGACAGATAATTTGTTTTAGAGTGTTTTAGCTTTTATAAATTGTTGTTTTCTTGCAGGCAATGCCATGGGCTATGTGCGTATGATTCGTTCTGGTGGTCTTCACTGCTGCTCCAATGCAATTGGCTTTGTCCCTGACCTGGAGGATGTGGTGAACTTTGAATCCTTGTGTGTGAATGAAGGCTTGTCTGAGTCTTGCATCAATGCTGCCAAACAGCTTGACCATGTGATTGAAAATTTGGGAAGAAACTTTGCTGAGGGCACAGAATATTTTAAGCTCTTGGTCAATGTGTTTTCCGGAGAGTTTCGCAAACCAGGAAACAGTCATCTTCGCAATTTCCACATCATTATTCCACCACTTACCATAAACTTTGTGGAATATATAATTGCTTCCAAGGAGCGCCTGACCAAAAAAAATAAAGGAAATGCAGCATTCACTGATGATGGCTTTGCCATGGGTCTTGCCTATATCTTGACTTTGTTAGATCTTCAGGTTGAATGGGATGCTCTTCATTGGTTTGAGTCTGTGCAGACAAAGTATGCCAAAGAAAAAGCAGCTTTGGCAGAACAGAAAGGCTCTGCTCGTGGTCAGGAGGATGAAAAGTTGCAGCAGACAATGACCCTCACAGCCCGCAGGCTGGATGTTTACCAACAGGTATGGACAGATGGTTATCAACCAAAACCTACTTTTCAGGGCCCCCCCTTAACACTGTTCATTTTCCTTGCAGGAATTTGAACTTCTACACTACAGCCTCAGCAGTGCCAGAATCTTCTTCCAAAAGGATGACGTACCGGCTGAAGTACCACAAGATAAAACTGCTTGAGTCAAATTTCTCAGATTCAAGATGAATTCTTAACATTACATTCCTTTGCCCTTCTCGAGCTATAGCTTGGTTCAGCTGTGGCTATCTATGTGATATTTTTGTGAAATGGAGTTGTGCTGGAGCATCAAGTAGATTTATCATTAGCTTAACAGTTAAGGATGCTGTATTTTAAATTGTTATCTATTTTTGTTACTGAAATTTTATGTGGTGTATATGCTTTGTTATATTAGCTAGTCACAATCAACTATTTTTTAATCTGTATTTGTATTAATTTTGTAACATTCCAACTGTTGTTACATATGGATATCTATAAAGTGCCCCATTGTACTGTTTCTTTGAAAAGCAACAAAAATGGATACTGACTCTGTAGCATATTAGGTTATCAAATGGTCTTGTTTGTATTCTCTTTGCCTCTATAATAAAAGACAAACGGAGCAAACCAGACTTCCTTTTCCCTTTTCTCATTAGCATTAGCAGTAGTAAAAGGGGTTCGCTAAGCGGGGAGGGGGAAAGGGGGGCGGGAAGGCGAAGGCAGCAACCAGAGCGTGCTTTACCCTGGCCTTCCAAGAAGACTGGCCGCGGAGCGCGGAGCGTCTCGGTCAGTCACGGCCGTGCGTGCGTGCGCGGCGTGCCCCACACGCACACGGCACGCGCAGACGTGTTGACTGGACCCGAGGATGCGGTGAAATCAACAGTGGAGGCACTCACGATCACGATATCGTCGGGCTGGAGACTTGGAGACACCGCCGCGGCTATGCCTATGCCAAGCAGCAGCAAGGACGCGCGGGCGGCGGGCCTGCCCGAGCCGAGGGGTCGTCAACTTGCATATTACTTCGTATACACAGGCTGTATATTACTTGTATATTACTCTTCTATTACCGCTAAAAGTCCATAAATATTATCAAATAGACTACTTAGAGCATAGGTAGCATGAAAAATCGGCCTAAAAACGGTAATATAGGACGTATATTACCATATATTACTGTATTACTTCGTACACGCGCGATGTGAGTTGACGACCCCTCGGGCCTGCCTCTGCCTACCCGACGTACGTCAGGCGGTATAGTACCAAACTCGCAGTTCACCGGCAGTTGGGGTTGAACTGCGGACTCGACCGAACTCACAGGCCGTCTGTTCCCCTCAGCAAGGTCCGGCGATCTGCTAACATTTCAACTGGCTTTTCGACTGGCTGACCTAGGAGGGCCCAAGGCGGGAGGCTGGGCTGCTATCCGCGGCTAGTCTCGGTTTCTTTTCCCCCCACGGAATGTTGGGCCATGTTCGGCGCTTCGTTTTCGCGTTTTGGCACACTGCCCTCTAGGCTCGCGCAAACTTTCCGGACCGCGGCACAGCAAACCCGGCCCGGTCAGCGTGCGCCCGCCCCCGCCGCCCGGTCTCTCTCGCACTCACGGGGCGTGCCGGTGTGCCGTAGGGGTGCGAGAGAGACGGAGCAGCGTGTGCCTGCCTCAGCAAGCCTCAGCTCCCCAGCCAGCACGCGCACAGCTCAGCCCGGCTTTGACGTCACCGAGTGAAAACGCTTTGGGCCGCGGCTGGGTGGCCGGGCCGGCCAGGGTGGAGGCCGGAGGCCCTGCACGCCCTGCGTGTCCTGCCCAGTGCACCACCGCGCCAGCCGCCTTACTCCAAAGGACCGTTTTGTCGCTCTGTCTCTGTCACGCCCATGGGGCGTTCCGCGAGGGTGCGAGAGAGACAGAGCGACCCTGCGGAGAGGTGGCAGCCTGTCTGACATGGACGGGGCGCCCTTACACAGCCCGCCGGTATACTGTCATCGCGGTGGCGCACCGTGGCGGGCCGGGGCGGGGCGGCCCTGCGAGTGAGAAGAGTCGCCACGCCGGCTGAGCACGCCGCCCCGCCGGCCCCGCCCGCACGACACCCTGCAGGCTGTCTCCGGAAGGAGCTGTCGTCGCACCGTCTCTCTCGCACTCGTGGCGGGTAGGGCGTGCTGCACGGGAGCGAGAGAGACGGACTCGGCCTGCAGTGAAAAGGCGACGAGACGGGCCGACACGCGAGCGACACGCGGGGAGGTTTCGCGGCTTCGCTGCGCCAGCTCCTCGCCCCGCACGCCGCCAACGCCGTCAACACCGTGGTCCTCGAGGACGCCGCACGCGCCGCACGCTCAGCAGGCCGACGACGGGGAACGAGTGGAAAGCCGCGAGAGACGGACGCGTCTAGGAGCGCCATAGCGGCCGTGGCGTCACCACCGCGAATGTGCGTGTGCGCTCCCCCACTCCCGCGCGCCGTGCGTTCAAATCCCCTACGGACAATGTGACGGCGACAGCGTGGGCTGCGTCTGATTCGGATGTTCTACCCGACCCGAGCCGCGCGGCCCCGCTAGGCCGCCGGCGGCCTGCCAGCGAATGGCCGTCCGGCTCAGCGCCCCTGCCGTCGCGGCGGTAGGCAACCCGAAGGCAGCTCGCCCCGCCTGGTTGCCTACCCTGTCATCCGCAGGCGTTTTGGCCGGACGCTGGTGTGGGAGAACGGCACGGCGCCGAGGTGACGGTGACGGCGCGCGACGAGCGTGTTGGGGGAGGGCTCGACGTGGTCCTTGCAGTGGGTGGCCGCCGCGAGGGGAGGGGAGGGGAGGGGAGGGGATCGCGGTGAGGTGGTCGCCCGCAGGGAGGGGCGGCCGGCGGCTCTCTGCTCGTTGCGTTCTCCAGCACTCGACAGGTGCGCAGTCTGGAGCGAGCTCTCCAGCGGCAAGCAGTCCGTGCAGTGCGCCGCGCAGAGGAGGGGCCTTCCCGTCGCCGAGGCGCTGTCCCCCAGTGTGTGCGAGCAGTTTGGCGCTCCCTGAGCTTATGCGGTGAGTACACAGTGCACTGGTCGAGGGCCGAGAGTGCAGTATCTAATTTCGAGTGCCCGCATTCAAAGAGAAATCGAGTCTGTGTTTTAGTGGCGTACGAGTGGCTATCTTGATCGAATCAAATGCCTCTCAAGAGGCTTTTCAGTTTCAGTTTTTCTTATTTTTGTTCATTCTTTTTGTGGCTGAGGCGGCCATAAACGTGTAAAGTAACTTTGCTCTAGAAAAAAGAAGTGATGCGGAATGGAAATTAAATTAATTGACCTGGCTGTGGCGAGAGCGGTGAGAGAGCCGCGACGCCGTTTCCTGTACGACTCCAGTCAGTCCTCATAAGCGCCTCAAGAGTCGATAAAAATAAAAGCCGACCGGTCCGGCCATCGCCATCCTGCCAGGGCACTGCCAGGGCACTGCTACGGCACTGCCAGGGCACTGCCGAGCCACCATTGCAACGGGAGCGCGGCCAGGCAGCCCGATGGCAATCTGGAATATGGTTGGGCCGCCGCGTCACGCCGAGAGCGACAAGTCTGTCGCGAAATGGCCACTTAGCCCTCCGTCGCTCCGTCGGCGTGCTTCAGGTGCCTCCAGAGCCTCCAGTGCCTCCAGTGCTTCCAGTGCTTCCATTAACGCCGTGCCGTCGCTCGCCGCTTGCTCGCATTGTGCTTGCAGACCCAGGCCGCCACAATAGGGGCGAGCTACAGCGCACCGTGTCATACTCTGGCACTTCGCTACCTGTGCGAGATGCTGAGCGCGCTGCTCCCCAACGCCGTCCCCGGAGGCATGGCCGGGCCGCCGCCCTCCGCACCCGGCCCCACCCCCGCGGCCCTGGCCGCCGCCATGGCGCCCGCCCCGGTCGTGGTGCCCGTGGTGCCCGTGGTGCCGCCCCCCAGCCAACAGCCCTGTGAGCCCCGCCAGCCCTCCTGCGACGAGCCCTTCGACGAGCCCTGCAGCCAGGGCCAGGACCACGGCCAGGACCACGGCCAGGACCAGGCCACGCCGGAGCGGCCGGACCCCGCCTCCGTGGTGGTGAGTACAGAGTAACAGTACGCCGCACTGAGGCATCGAGGCACTCCACGGCGTGCTGGTGGTTCAAGGTCAGTGCCAGGCCCTGGCAGGCCAGGCACTGCCGCACTGGCAGCGATAATCCGAGGATTAGCCTCTAATTCGCGACCAGGTTCTCGCCGTGCTCGCCTTGCCCAGCCCGGCCGCAGGCCCGGCAAAGGCAAGGCAAAGGCGTTATCGCCTATCGCCGCGAGTCAACACAACACACAACACAGACGGAGGCGCCTAGCTCGCCGGGCTGCCCCGCCCGCCCCGCGCTTCCTCTAATTGGACAGACCCTTGGCACTTTCACACGCATTTCGCATTTCGCACGCATTGTGCTCCGGGCCTCGCGCTTCGGGTCAGCTGCTCGTAATCTGGGGCAATTAATAGAAACCTCGCACGGCAGCACGGCGGCTCGGCGGCTCGGCAGTACTGGCCGGAAAAAAAAGGAGGCTCGCTAACCGAGTCCTTCCCCGCCGCGCTCGCTTCAGCGCCCCGCCTCGCCCCGCCCCGCACCCCGCCACGGTCCGTGCCGTAGCCTCGAAACGCCGGCTTGGCCGGGTCTGGTAGGAAGGGTGAGGTCGCGGGTTCGATTCCCGCCCGGGGCTCATCGCGGGACAAATATTCCACGTCAGGTGTGGCCGTGCATGGCGCACGTGTCCGTGTGTGTGCCTGTGTGCGCGCGGTGTGCGTGTGTGTGCGTGAATGCGCTTCCCTACCGCACGGCGCGGCTCGAGGCGCGGGCCATTGCATCTTGGCCGCAGATAACGAGAAGGGAATAGAGGGGAGGGGGAGGGGCCGCAGCCTATCGCACCGCCACTCTCGCGCCCCGCCGGCGAACTGTCACCGCCACCAGTCGCGCTGGCCGCGTCGTACACACGCCCCGCGCCGTCACCAAGTGCCCAGCCCGCCAGCCCGCCCCGCCGCGAACCGCGCCCTCCGCCACCATGTCGACAGAAGACAGCCAGGACGTCATCAAGGCCCTCAAGGCGCAGCAGCAGGTGAACGGCACCGAGTCGCCGGCCGCCGCCAACGGGAACGGCGTGCACCACGAGGACGGCGACGAGGCCGACGGCTGCGGCTCGAGCAAGACCAGGCAGGAGGAGAAGCAGGCCATCGTGGAGCTGAAGGAGGCTGTCCTGGCGGACGAGTCCTTCTCCTCCAACAACGAGGCCCTCGCCAAGAAGGTTGAGGCGGCAGTGACGGCGCTGGACGAGGCCGTGTCCGCGGCGGAGCAGGCCGACACCAAGGAGAGGGAGGCCGTCTCGGCGCTCGACGACGCCCTCCTGTCCAATGGAGTCACCCCTGAGAAGATAGAGGAGGCCGTCTCGGCGGTGCATGAGGCCGCCGCCAAAGACCAGCAGGCCGAGTCGGCGCTGGACGAGGCCGTGTTGGTGGTGGGGGAGGCCGTCATCAAGAACCTGGACAAAGCCGTGTCGGCGGTGGACGGTGTGGCGGCCTCGGCCCCGGCCGCAGAGACCCCCAAGCCAGAGCCCGTCGCATCCGCCCCCGCCCCCGTCGTGGAGGTGACCCCTGCCCCCCAGCAGGAAGAGGAGGAGGACGAGGAAGTCGCGCCCGTGGAGAAGGAAGCCCCGAAGAAGGCCTCCGCGGCCCCTGAGCCAACTCCCGAGGCCGCCCCCGCGAAGGCCAGCCCCGCCGAGTCACAGTCCAGCTTCAGCGAGGTCATCCCGGCGATGCAGGGCGTGCGGCAAGAGTGGTTCAAGAACCGGCAGTCCAGCGAGGAGAGGCGCCGGGAGGTGGAGGCGGAGTCCAGGCCGACCGTCAACAAGGTATGCACCGCGGCACCGCGGCCCATCCCGGACCGGCGGACCGCACCCAGCGCGATGGGCCCAGCCGCCCCGGCTAGCCAATCGGGCGAATCAAGGCTGCGCCGCACTACGCTGCCCCGGCTAGAGCAGGCTAGAGCCAGGGCCGCGTCGGCCTGGTCGGCCTGGGCCGGCTAGGCGTGGCAGGTGCGGCGATGCTGCCGATAGAGAGTGTTGTCCCGTGACGCTGATAACGGCGGGGCGTGCCTGGCCTGCCCGGCCTGCCTGGCGTACCGGGAGGACGCGCTGCACCGCACCGCGCACCACGAGCTCCACGACGCCGTGCTCCACGGACGGCAGGACGGCGGCGGCGCCGCTTGATGCCGATTGCCGATTCGGCCGCCGGAAGTGGACCGAGTGCGCGGCGGCGGTCTCCGAACCGCGTCAAGACGCGAGCGCGGCTGAACCGGGGGAGGGAATAATGCTGTTTGCACCTCGCCGACGACGCCCTTATCTCAGTCTCAAGTGCACCGCCGGCGGCGGCGTCATATGCCATACCTGAAACATCATCATCTTAATGCTATTTCGCTCCGCGCACTGTCGCACAGTGTAGGCGACTTTGTTGTCACTGCCGTGGCCCCGGCCGTGGTCGGCCCGGCCGCACCGGACGCCGACGCCAGGGATGCCAGAGTACTTGGATCGGATCTGGCGGATCGTCGCCGTCGAGTGTTTTCGGTTGTGCGTCGATAAGCCCGCGCGGATGGGGGTTTACGCTGCATCCGGTCAGGGCCGCCGTCGCTTGCCGTCGCTTGCCGTCGCTTGCCGTCGCTTGCCGTCGCTTGCCGTCGCCGGCATTGCGATAGCTACGGCGCGGCCGCTCGGCGTGGCGTGGCGTCGCGTGGCGTGGCGTGGCGTGGCGTGCGTAGCGCAACGAGACTCGCTATTCCAGAGAAAAGGGAAATGCACGCACGTGTCCGAAGCGCGAAGCGTCATTCGAGGGACAGTCCATGTGTGTGTCTGTGTGTGTGTGCTGGTGGTCGGGTGGAGTGGACACGCGGCTTCGCAGAGAACCACTTTTTTTCCGCGAGGCGTGCAATAAAACAGAGCGTCATCCCCTGCGCCTTTTCCAAATTGCGAAAAGAAGTAGCGACCATTCGCCACGCGTTTATCGCGGCCCAGGAGACCGGATTCTCGGGATAAGAAAACACCCCTCCGAATAAGACGTCATTGCTCAGAACAATGTGGTGTACATTGGAAGTGCCCTTTTTCAAGAAATGGCTTTTCAGGGTACGGCGGAGTGCTTCCGAACAGTGCTTTCGTCGTTCTGTCTCTCTCACACTCGCGGGGCCTCCCGAGTGGGTGCGAGAGAGACAGGGCGACGAAAAGCACTGTGTGACAAAGTAATCGGGCGAGCGTGCCGGGGACGGCCAATCATGCCTCGCCAAGGCAATACTCGATCAATACTCCGACGGGTGATAATGCGATTCCTCTATCCTGATTGGTCCTGTTGGTCCCGTTGCAGGCGGCGCTGAGCACGAGCATCGACGAGAGTTCCGTGCGGGCGGCGTACGAGGACGTCCGGTCCGACACCACCGACACCGAGTGGTACGAACGAACAGACCAACCAACGCCATACTGACTCCAGAAAGTGCTTTCGTGTTGTCTCTCTTGCACTCATGACGGCGTCCCGTTGAGATGCGAGGGAGACGGGGCGGAACAAACGCACGCCAGGTGTCCACAACTCGTGAACGGCCAGCGATTCGGAGAACACATTGGGAAATCAAATTTCAAAACCAAAGGCCCAAATGGCGTTGCCAACGCTCGCCATTTTAGAGATATGAACACCTGAGGTTGCAATAGACGACTTGAGCTAGGCGAAAGAAGAGGAAGAAAATACCTTCCCGAACATGGCGGACGGCCGCCGTCGGCTGCTAGGACCAATGAGGGGCCGGCCGCCATGTTCGGGAAGGTATTTTCTTCCTCTTCTTTCGCCTAGCTCAAGTCGTCTATGCAGACGAGCACTCGGAGAGCAGCCTGTCCCTGTCCAGTGGCGTGGACCCGTTCTAACGGCGGACTGGCCGGCCGGGGCGCAGGGCCGTCTTCAAGTTCCAGGACCAGAAGATCGTGTGCTCGGCGACGGGCGAGGGCTTCGACTCCTTCCGCGGCCACTTCGCCGACAACGAGCGCGTGTTCGGCTTCATCCGGATCCAGATGGGCGACGAGATGAGCAAGCGCCAGAAGTTCGTGTTCCTGACGTGGGTCGGGCCCAGGGTCAGCGTCATCCGCAGGGCCAAGATGAGCATCGACAAGGCCATGGTCAAGAACATAGTCAAGGTCAGTTCAAGGCTCCGACGCTCGCAGGCCGGCAGGATGGAGGGGGTCGTCGCACAGTGAACCAGAAGACCGGTGGAGGCGGCCAAAACTCTAGACGCGTTTTGAGCTCCAGAGTCGCTAAGCAGGCCTCGAACCAAACGTGTGACCCCACCAATGGATTCCTCGTTCAAAGAGCAATCCATTGGTGGGGTCACACGTTCAGTTCGAGTCCTGCTTAGCGACTCTGGAGCTCAAAACGCGTCTCGAGTTTTGGCCGCCTCCACCGGTCTTCTGGCCCACTGTGCGTCGGGAGCTGGGCTGGCTGTACGATGTGCGAGACGAGACTTGTGCAGAAGACGTGAAACGTGAAAAACGCGAGCGAAAGGAGGGCGGCCGACTGATTCCGCGTATCTCTTCGTTCGTTCGTTCGTGTCTCTGTCTCTGTCGCACTCGAGGAGCACCCCGCCGTGGCGGCGTGGCGGAGTGCGAGAGAGACGGCACACTGGTAGGTACTCGGAAAGAGGCGGCTGCCGCTTGTAGCGCCACCGGGCCGCGTGCCGGAGGGAATGCGTGGTGCGCGGCGGCGACGGCGTTAAGGAAAGTCCGGCAAGCTATGGAGTCTGGTTGCGAACAGTGCCCTCGTTGCTCTGCCTCTCTCGCACCCCCGTGGGGTGCACCGTGAGTGCGAGAGAGACAGAGCGACGAGGCGCTGTTCGGATTGAGCCTGCTGGTGTGCCGCACTGATCCACTTGCTGCCTCATCCTCGACGCGCTGCTGCTCCCCGCCGTGTTGTTGGAGGCTGGCGCGTGGCTGGCGCGTGGCTGGCGCGTGGCTGGCGTCACGCTGGCGCCGCACTCTCACTCGTCACGCCCAGAGCGCCCCTCTGCAGTTCGCATCCTCATTAGCGGCTGGCTATACCCCTCGCCCCGTTCGCGCTGTTGCAGAACTTCGCCGTGGAGCTGCAGGTGGAGTCCCAGTCCGAGATCAACGTGGAGTACCTGCGCGACCAGCTGGCGCGGGTCGGCGGCGCCAACTACGGCACCGGCTTCAGAGACTAGACGACCGGACGGCGGAGGACGAGCAGTCGGGGGCGGCGGGGGGTGGCGGGGGGCGGCGGGGGCACAGCACCTTATTTATACCTCACCACAACTGCAGACGTTTGCCCCCCACGGCCTCCGCCAAGAGTTGCTCAATCGCACCCCTCGGCGCCGGAGGGATGTTAGTGCCCGTGTCCGTGTGTGTGAGTGTGTGTGTGCTTGTGTGTGTGTGAGAGAGTGAGTGAGAGGGGAAGCGTCTATGTGTGTGTGAATGTAAGTTAGCGTGTTTGCGAATGAATCAGTGTGCGATTGTGCACGGCGCACGAGGCAGTATGACTCAGGCGGGCTTTGAGATTGTGATAGCTTCATCATTCAGAGAAAAGAGAAGAAAAAAACTCCGCATTGAAAAGCGAATGGCACATTCAAAACAAAATGAATGTATTTTTCTTTTTTAACAAAAATGAAATGTAAATAATATACGAGACCGTCGAATAAAATGTACCTTCAGAGACTTCGAGTGTTTCGTCAGTGGTTCAATCACCCCTCCCAAACAAACTTAAGTTGAGAGCTCCCAGAGAGAGTGATTCTAGAAGTGCTAGAAGTGATGCCAATAAAGGTACAGGCATACTCAAACGGCCTGTAGCGCCTGCTCTGCAAACTCAAGTGTGTGCCAGGCATGCACTTCTTGGTGCATGCCTGCAGGCACACACTTCCTGGTGCATGCCTGGCAGGCACACACTTCCTGGTGCATGCCTCAGGCACACACTTGCCGTCGCTTATGCATGCATACAAGCAAGTGTGTGCCTGAGGCATGCACCAGGAAGTGTGTGCCTGCCAGGCATGCAGAAAAGAAGTGTGTGCCTGCCAGGCATGCACCAGGAAGTGTGTGCCTGCAGGCATGCACCAAGAAGTGCATGCCTGGCACACACTTGAGTTTGCAGAGTGTGAGGTAGTCCACCGATCACACCTGTGTGGAGACGGTGGCCTACCCCACCCCTGTCGCCGTCGCAGGGGTAAGGTAGGCCACCGTCTCCCCATCGGTGTGTTGCGAGACGGTTGGTTGGCCTACCTCACAGGCGCTTCAGGCCTCCAAGGCAGCAGCTGCCAGTCCTCAGTGGCCACGAATCTGAAGTTCCAAACCAGGCTCTGTACAGGGATGTACGTTTTCCAGCGCGTGTTTTAAATTCTCTTAAGGCAGGGGGAATCTTTAATACACGCTGAAAAACTGCTATGTGTAAAGTGACATCCAGCTAATAATCATTGAATAGACGGGTGCTTACAAGGCCCATTTAACGCCGTGAGCCAAAAATGAGTCCGTTCGGAGGAAGCTCCTTGCAATGCGTGCGCCGGTGGGCAGGCAACCCAACGCACAGCAGCGACCGTCGGGCGGACTGTCTACTGGGTGCGCGCCGAGCCAGGAGAACGCTATTGGCTCCCGTTCTGTGCTGACCGACCAGACTTCAACAAACCCACAGCAACAGTAAAATAAAGAAATAATTTATTTAGAAAATAAATAAATAAATAAAATACAAGAAGACACAATGACGCAACATTTCGCTCCACTTATGGCACACGATGGTTGTAAAACGACGGCGACGTCGGGCTCAGTCCACAACACTGTCAAAAAACACTATGCGCGCGTTTCGGCGCTGCCGCATCCGCTTGCTGCTTGCTCTGCCCGAGGTAACGGACCGGGGCGAAGTCCTTCAGGAGTCCTTCAGGAGCTGCCCAGCCAGTCGATGGCGGCGCAGTGGAATCGCCCGCACTCCTTCCTGGACCTGCAACGAGTCAGCCAAGTTAGCGGCACACAGTGGGCCAGAAGACCGGCGGAGGCGGACAAAACTCACGACGCGGTTTGAGCTCCAGAGTCGCTAAACAGGCCTCTAACCGAACGAGTTACCCCTCCAATGGATTCGTCGTTCGGAGAGCAATCCATTGGTGGGGTCACACGCTCGGTTCGAGTCCTGTTTAGCGACTCTGGAGCTCAAAACGCGTCTGGAGTTTTGGCCGCCTCCGCCGGTCTTCTGGCCCACTGTGCGTCACCTCTCTGCGACCACCTTTCAGGCACCGTCACATCATGCGCACTTTTTTCCAATTCACGATCCAACCGAGCCACGCATGTTTGCCCTTCGTCATTCTGGTCTCACTTTATCTTGGTGACGATCCGCGATTGCGATTGAACTGGACGGACGAGAAGTTGACTGATCATACTCGGCCAAGAAAATTCGGAATTCATATTCGGAACTAAGACTTATCTTCGATTTCCGGACAAATCTCGATGTTAACTTCGATTTCCGGACAAATCTCAACGTTAAGAGGAAATTTGACAAAACTCCAACGACTTTGCAAAAATCTTCAAAACTTCCACGTTTGGGCTCTTTCGGCCTTTTGAACCGGCTGTTGGAGTGGGAACTTTTCCGATCCGAGTGCAATGAGTGATCGGAATGATGAGGGAACTCACCTGCGCGAGTTGAGTTGGCAGGCCACCCTCTGGACGCACTGCTCCACCCACGCTCCCCTGCGAAGGACAGACCAAGTGAAGGGTCGATGAAGCGGCCGACGCCACCAGGGATTCGGCAGTTCCTTCGCCGCCCTGTCTCTCTCGCACCCCTGCGGGACGCGGGACGCCGCACGAGTTCGAGCGAGACAGGGCGACGAAAGCACCGCAAGCACCGCAAGCACACCGACCTGGCCTCCATCTCGTTGTTGCTGGGCGAGTCGGGCGAGGCGTTGCCGCCCTCCGCGGGCTTGCCGCCGCCGCCGGGGGCAGCGGGGGCGGCGGGGGCGGCGTCGGACGAGGGGGCGTCGTCCATGCCGAAGCCGGGCATGGGCAGCATGGAGGCCAGCATCATGAGCGGCACGAGCAGCGGCAGCGCGAGCGGCAGCGCCAGCGACACCAGCAGCACCACCTTGGCCAGCAGCACCTTGGCCAGCACCAGGGGCAGCTTGATGGCGGCCAGCGCGCCCACCACCACGGCCAGCACCTTGAACACGCTCAGGCCCGGCGACATGCACCCCTCTGCGCGGCCCGGAAAAGAAAAGAAAAGGAAAGGACGCCTCGTTAAAAATCTTCCAAATTTTCGGAAACTTTTGCAGGGCCTCCATCCGGCGTCATTCGTGCGCTCACTAATCCTTGGGAAGTCCTCCGCCCAACTCCAACCCACCTGCGGGCGGTGCGATAGAGGCCACCGGCCAGGCCACGGGCACGGCGCCGTCCAGGGCGGGCGACGCGGGGGACGCCACCCCGGGCGACCCCAAGGGCGTCCCGATGCTGTTGTGCGACGCCACCCAGGCGGCGGCGGGCTGCGCGACGACGGCCAGGACGACCACCGCGGCGACGGTGACGAGGAGCGGCCGCGACGAGGGGGCCAGGCCCCGGGGCTGCGAGGACGCACACATGGCGGCGAGGACTGGGGGGCGCACCGTGGGGACCCCGACTTATACCCTTGCCCAGTGTCCATGCCTCATCGCCCTGCCTCGCCCTGCCCTGCCCCACGCCGAGGTTGTGTCGCCCCACCCGCCAGCCCCACCCCGGGGCACACACACACACACACGCACGCACTCACTCACGAGTACGCGCACCGAGTGAGAAAGTACACGTGGCCCCTCCCGCCGTACTCCATGCATGCCTGGAGTCCAGGTCGCCGTCAATACATCACGGACAACAGTCCCTCAGTTTGGATCAAATTATCACTCCGCGGCGAAGGCGAATCCGGTGGGCGGCGTCCAGACGGCGCGCGTTTAGCGGGGCGCCGCGCGGCCGCCGTGTCTCGTACATTTAAATTTGACCTGCTCTTTTTTGGTCCTGTTTAGGCTTCCGTACCCCCCCCCTCCCCCACCCCCGCACTTCCGTCCACGTCAGCCCGGCGGGCAGGGCCGGGCAGGGACGCTGTGACAGCCCGTCGCCAGTTTAAAAACACTCCACTCCTTTCTCCGTCACGGTGGGGGTCTTTGCCGGGACACGGTCGCGGCCGCCGCCGGGTCGCCCTGGCCTCTTGTCATGCAAAACTGGCCCTGCCCCCTTCGGAGCATCGGGGCCGTGCCGCGCCGGGCAGGGCACTCCCTCCTCCATCCTCCCGGTGTTCGCGACGTGCAGTGGCGGCGACGCTCCCGGCCGGGATAGGACGGCCGCCCCGGGCCGCCCCCGCCACGCCGAGGAAGCGCACAGCTGATTTGTAGCCGTCACCGAGCACTGACTCACTGCCGGCTGCCGAGCGATCCCGAAGTATCCGTCTCTCTCGCACCCCTACGCCACGCCGCCACGCCCCGGGAGTGCGACAGAGGCAGGGCGACGAAACGACGACAGTTCGGAATGAGTCTGGCGGCATTCTGGGAGGACCCGGTCGGTCGATGAAAGGCGGGAAGAGTGACCGACGTGACCGACGACGTCGCGGACGCGTCGCTTGGTGCTCGTCCTCCCGCACGGCGGGCTAGACAGTAGTCCGCACGGTGCGTTCGTCACCCCGTCTCTCTCGCACCCACGCCGGACGCGTCACAAGAGTCACAAGTGCGACAGGGACAGAGCGGCGAAAGCGCGGGTTCCTAATCAGCCAGCTGCAGCGGATTATAGAAATTCATCCCATGGCGCAGTGGCACACCGCCGCACACCGCGTCTTGAGATAAACATGTGCAATATGAGAAATTTCTCAGCTGCCGTTTCTCTGCCGAGCACTGGACTAGATTTGGGGAATGCGTCCCGAGCGCAAGGAGTGGATGCAGCATGCACCGAGACACGTGCACGAGGCACGCCGCGGCCCGCCCTGCCCGTCTTGCGGCCATAAAGCGGGCCTGGGCAGGTGGAGAGAGAGAGAGGAGAGAGAGAGAGAGAGAGAGAGAGAGAGAGAGAGAGAGAGAGAGAGAGAGAGAGAGAGAGAGAGAGAGAGGGAGAGAGGGAGAGAGTGGATGTAACCACAATACTGCGTCCACACCCCGCCCGGTCCGACCGACGTGCGGTGCGGTCGGCAATGCGGGCATCCAGGACGGAGCGGGAAGCCTCCTCTCCGGCACCACACTGCTTTCCGCGTTTTGGCGGGAAAAGGGAGTAGGGAGCCGTTTTTGCGGGGAAAGGGAATTGGGCCTCGTTTTGTAGGAAAAAGGGGAGAGGGGCCTCGTTTTGGCAGGTAAAGGGAATTGGGCCTCGTTTTGGCGGGACAAGGGAATTGGTCCTCGTTTTGGCGGGTAAAGGGAATTGGTCCTCGTTTCGGCGGGACAAGGGAATTGGGCCTCGTTTTGGCGGGAAAAGGGAACTGTGCCTCGTTTTGTCGGGGCAAGAATGAAGAGTTGTGCTTTGGAGGTGTACTACAGCGAGGCATCCATATTTTAAAGGAGACGGCCTAAAAGGGGTCGAAAGGCGGAGCGGGGCCGCGGCGTCCAGCGGCCAGGCCAGGAATCGGGACGGAGCGGGGCTGCCGCGGCTGCCGCTTGCCGCTGCCACTACCGTGCTGTGAGGCGTTTTGTTTTGAGTGGCCAGTGTGAGATGTTTGCGCAGGGCGGTAATGCGCTGGTTGGTATGTGTGGACAGGCCCTCCGAGTCGCCACGCCACGCCACGCACTGCACTGCTGCACTGCGCCACAACAAACCTAGGGGTTCAGGAAAACCGGAGAAATAACGCCGACGTGAAAGCAGACGACACTAACGCATTTTACTTCATTCCGTCTTTCGGCGGCGAAAACGCCCGGCAGGGTAGGCATGTCCGTCGGACGGGCGCTCCGTCCGCACTCATGGGGGCAATGTGGGCGGGTGCGAGAGAGACAGAGCGACACGCTGCACGCTGCGCTCGGTGGCGTCGACGGCGAAGTGGCCCGCTTCCAGTGCGCGGTGCGCGGTGCACAGTGGGCCAGAAGACCGATGGAGCGGCCAAAACTCGAGACGCATTTTGAGCTCCAGAGTCGCTGTAAAGGACTCGAACCGACCGTGTGACCCCACCTATGGATTCCTCGTTCCGAGAGCAATCCATTGGTGGGGTCGCACGTTCGGTTCGAGTCCCATTTAGCGACTCTGGAGCTCAAAACGCGTCTACAGTTTTGACCGCTCCCACCGGTCTTCTGGCCCACTGTGCGGTGCGGCGCAAGTCGAAGCCAGTCGAAGCGGAAAGGTGGACAGAACTCATGCGTGGAGCGTGGACGCCTCGCTGTCGCCGTGGCCGCCGTGGCCAGACAATACGGAAGCGGCTAAACTGGAGCGCGCTGCTTCCGGCCCAGTGCCTGCCGGCAGACCCGGCAGACCCATTCCGAAAAGCGGCTTTCGTCGCTCTGTCGCCCTCGCACTCATGCGGCGTCCCGCATAGGTCCGAGAGAGACAGACTGACGAAAACGACTTTTGGATTCAATCTGCTGAGCCGCCCGTCCCCCAGGCCGCAGCGCTCCGTCGCTCTATCCCTCTCGCACCCCTACGGGAAGGGCTACGGCACGGCCTACGGCACGGCCTACGGCACGGCCTACGGCACGGCCTACGGCACGGCCCCGGAGTGCGAGAGAGAGAGAGCGACGCCCGTTACGCCGGGGAGGGCGGGGACCAACGGGGACCGCGCTAATCACGACTTATCGCCAATCGGAGCTGATCTCCACGAGGGCAGCAAACAGCATGCCGTGGTCCCCGCGGTCGCGGTCGCTTTGACGCTTTTTAGGCAGCGCGAGGAGGAGCGGCAATCGAGAACAAAACGGCTTATTACCGGCACCGCTGCGGCCTCGCAAGCCTCGCATAGGCAGATAGAAAAATCACTGTTACAGGAAACGCGACCCGGATAAACTTTACCCGTTTGACAAGCTCTTCTACCACCAGCTTCACGTTCTTTAGCAAAATCTTTGAAGCTAGGCCAAACCGTTTGCTCTATGTGACACTTTTGAGACAGTGTCAAAGTCGTCCCGAATGCTGAAGTCGCCCCGAGTCACGTACAATGAAAATCACTCTAATTGCTCTAATTGTTGACGTGTCCAATCTATCCCGTTTCCGCCGCCTTCCGCGCCCCGGCCTTGGGGCTGGGCCCCGCTGGGGGCTGGAACGGCAATTCGGCGTAACCCCGAAACCCCGAATTTGTTGAAAGGTCACCTACTTAGGCCGGCCTGATTGACGGCATGGCTGCTGTAGGTCGGCGAGGGCGTGCCGAGGGCGTGCCTCGCGACGCTCCGTGCCGCCCCCCGCGCCGCCGCCCGCCCCGCCCCGCCTGCCGCCCCGCCCCGCCCCGCCCCGCCCCGCCCCGCCCCGCCCGCGCCCGCCCCGCCGCCGCCGCCGCCGCCCCGCCCCGCCCGCCCCGCCCCGCCCCGCCCCGCCCCGCCCGCCCCGCCCCGCCCCCCCGCCCCGCCCCGCCACGCCGCGACACGCCGCTCGCTGCAAATGGACGCAGAATGCGCTAGCCTAGCCGCACTGCGGCAGCACTTTACTGAATAACCAGCCAATGATATCTTTTGGGTTCGCAGGGCCGCAGCCCTCACGCAGCTTGGCGGCCACGACTCGGCCTGGGCGGCATGGCGTCCGGACTAGACTAGACTCACGTCGGTCTGGGGGTTCGCGGACCGGACGGAGTGGACGCTCCGCCCTTTCGCCAATCAGGGCCCATTTCGGGCGACTCGGCGGCAGCGGCGGTGTCTGGAAGATGAAAGGGTCAGTCCGCGGCGCCACGGCCCTGCCGCCCTGTCTCGAGGGCATCCGCCGTGGATCATGGATCCGCCGACGGCATCAAAAGCCCATTCCGGCAAACAATCTTTGGCGGGTGAATCCGGCGCGCTGTGCACTAGGCCGGCCGCCCCCCGCCGCCCCCCGCCGCCCCCCGCCCC